TTATAAATCACCTATAGAAAAAGAACTTTGCAAATATATATATTTGCTCCGACTAGTTGGTACTGTCACCAGAAAAATGTACCAATCATAAAGGGTCAATTTCGTCGAGCAGTGCTTGACACGGGGCACCAGTCAAGGTTTGATTTCTTTCAAATTTGTTCTTTTAATACGATCTTTTATTACGACCGACATTTGGATGCTGTCCAGTATGCAGCAGTCCCTGGCCGCGCTATTCATCGCCTGACTTCCTTCCGCCTTCTTTATTTTCGTCTCGTCACTGTTCTCACGTCGAAGACATTAGCGAAGGTACCAACGGGCCTGGACGAACTTTCCTTACGATCTTTTAATAAAAACGGCCGAGATGTAAATCGCATACTGATTTCGCGTGGATGTTCGCGTGGAAGGAGATTTGTCGTCGGCGTCGTCGAACGATATTGGAATTTTTACGAGAGCGCTGTTAATCGAGAAACGGATCAGCGCCCGGTGCTTCGTCCGTTCGGGCTGGAATTCATTTCGGGGGATTCGTCGCTCTCCCGAGGAACTTTGATTAAATTTTTGTCATGTTTCATGCACGCGAAAATGGCAATTTTTAGCCGCCCGCTTCGTTTTCCTTTTTCTAAATTCTATCGACCGCGGAGTGGATAAGTGGACACACCAATTTAAATTCGTCGCGGTGATTGCACATGTTAGATGACTGTACGTAGTACGAAAGGAAATTGGGAGATCTGTAACGTTTATGGTTCTGAAGGTATGGACAGACCAGAAAATAGAAGTTAATCTTCAGGCGATGGTGTGTGTGGGTCCACCTTGATAGGACTTTTTGTTTCCAAAATTGAATATAGAGTTAGCACAGGCTGACAGGTCTGGTTAGTGTGGATACATCTTCTTAATTTAGAACTACTACTAGTGACATAAACAATGACAAAGAAATACTAAATAGTAATACCAAATTCTAAAAAATTCATATAAATTGTAATGATAACGAGAAAGGCTTTATATTGTTTGCATCAAACTTAGTAGAACCAATGGAAGTAGTAATAGAATTGAAGGTTTGCTGTAAGAAAGAGACAGCACCAATTTTGATACATTGTTTATTAAATATGTAATTTCACTATTAAAAATGTACTTGCATGAAAATAAATCAACCGCAAACAACTTATTATTGATATCGTTAATAAATTATATACATTAATATTATATTTATATTATATAATTATATGTTTTATATTTATTACTATTTATTTATTATTTTTATTGTTTTCGATTATTTCAAAATGGTTTCACACCATAAATTATATTTCATTAAGACATTATGTTGGAAAGCGTGATCGCTACGCCCTCACTTGGGCTGCCAATCGTGTGGCGGAGGACGTTCTGCGTAAAACGTGTACTGCGCGATCCCTGTTGTATATTGTGTTTGCACGTGTGCTTGAGCCGTTCCTGCGACCGGTTATCCTTACATTCACATTGCGCTTACATTAATACATATATTAATAAAACAATCAAACACATTACAACTTTTTACATTGTAATATACTCAATTGTAACAATGAATTTTAACGTTATAATAAAATATATCATTATTTTAAATTTCGTATTTATAGTTGACATTCACCACTTTTTCCTACTTTAGAACAATAAGGAGACAGCTCTAACATTGAAATTGTATTATTGAAACAATAAGAAAGATATGGGTTTCTTGTACAGTGTAAAAGTTTCTTAACACAGATACTACATAGTTGATCCTAAACTTACAACACATTTGAAGTAGTACCTAATTTTTAATTGATCTTTTTTATTTACGTTTTACTTTTTACAAAGAACCTAAAAGTGGTGCTGCCTCGTTCTTGCAGAAAACCCTTAAATTAAGAGTTATTGAAACGGTCAATGCCGCAGACCCAAATCAATCCTATAAATTCAAACACATTTAATACCAGACCTCACAAATGCGATACAAACGATAGCTCTACACCCAACAGACTCCATATGTGTAAATAATACCACATCTACGTACAAATGAGATCAAATTCAATATGTATTTTCGAATCTGACTCACTTTCAATACTCGGGTTGCTTTCTAGGCGTTTTCCAATACTCGGAACACCTGCAAGTTGTAGGTTTACACATTTAAGAGTTTCGGAAGCAAAATTTCAGTTTATTGTTTCTTTCTGATTCAAATACTTATAACAAGTTTCTCTTTAAAATATCTGATCAAATATTTTTTTATACTACCATTAATATATTTAAATATACCGCCAACATTTCTCAAATTGCGAAATACACGAATTTTCAAATTCATATCAATTTAAGACTTTCTTTTTTAAGTGCACGTAAAATTTTTGAAACTGTCCAATCAAATTCAAGTCTACTATATTTTAATTAAACAAAATTAAATAAAACCCAACATTAGATTAAAGATTAAATTCAATTACCAAAGTTGATTCTTTTTCTAATATCAATTGTTTTAAAGTTGAGTCACCACTACTGTTAATTAAAAAAAGAATTAATATTGTGCAATGATTATTGACGATATCAATGTCATTCCTATCCATGTAATAACGTTTTGCACTTTAAAAGTGCCTTTCAGTTGCCGTGTCATTTGACCCAACGAAATTATAAAATTTAAAATTCAATATTAAATTTTATATAATATTGAATTTTAAATTTTATACAACGTATCTGCACATAGACCATCGAAATAAAGTAGTTATATCCCTTAATTTATGCAAGATATTGCTTTATGTTAGTTGTAAAGAATATCATTGATATTTCGTCAGGAAATAATGGATATTTGTTGAGAAAAATATTCTCTAACACAAAGGATTAATAATCGGTATAATCTTATGAATAGTCATAGTAAATAATTAAAGTATAAAAAAGACAAATTTTCTAAAGTAACATAAAGAAACAAGAGTCAATTAAAAACTGAATCTTCTCGTAAGAATCTTAGTATGTTGAAAATAAACTAACATTTCTAAACCTTTACAAATATTTCTCTACGTTACACTTTATGCACTCGTGTTTCTCATAAATGCACAAAATCCCCTACCTACTCATGAATGTTCAAATGAGTTTTGTATGAATTTGATCGTACATCGGAAGGGTGAAAATGAGTAGCGAGGCAGAAACAGCCACGCAGGAATGGAGAAAGTGATCAAAGCACAACTAAAACTATTCCCTTTCCGTCAACTGTTTTCCGACATTCTAAAAACCAAGTGACTTCGGCAAACATCCGCTCTTCGAAAGGAACACATCATACCCCCCTGACGGGGATCATAAACTATTCAGACCCTTCAGTGTCGCGATGGCAATAGTCGTGAGCCGGTAGCATTTGCAACTCACAGGACGAAACAGTAAATTATTTCTGGACTAAGAACATCAAAGCATCCCACCCCCTTCGGTTGCTCATCCACCATCGTCTCTCCCTTTGAAACAGAAGAGAATGCAGACTACATTCAGGGATTAATGTTAAACATGAATAGGATTATTATGGGATGTAATATACCTGAGACTGATGCAATGTCAAAGCAACTTACTTCCTCTTCGCACGATAATTTCTTTGAAAATTATTGTACAATCTGCGTATGTCTTTATCTTTGTCTTTGTACATGACTCTTAATGAATAATCTTAAATGAACAGAAGAACGGTTTAGGAGGGTAGAGTTTAAGATTAATAGGACTTCTCGGTAGCTAATGTTTCATAGGATTAATATCTTACCTCCCCAGAAATTATGTATAATCGCTGATAACATTGGAGAATAATTGGACATAATTACCAGGGGATTATGTGTAACTCCAACTTTATCATATTGCCTGTAACATTTGTACTTTTAATCAATTCAAATAAGAAATATAGATAATAGGACTTTATTAAAAATGCAAATTTATTATGCAGTAAAGGGTTGCTAGGCAAATAGAAAAGGTTATTATACTGTATTATATATAACAGTATTATAAGTCTGAAGAAACAAAGCACAAACTATTTTCCAAGCATGAAGTTCAGTAAAATATTTTCTAATAAGCAAATGAAGAATCAACTAACCAAAACTTGTAATTATTTAGCTATATGTGGAACGTTCTTAAATCTTTAATTCGGACAATGTTTCGAATAAACTGATTTTCTAGAAACTTAGTTTTGGTTAGCATAATCTAGTCAAATCACAAACACTCGAAACGCAAAATTTACATGAACTTTCCTTAAAACTTAATCCTAAGTAATAATAATTATTTATTCAATCATTTATTTTATTTACAATATGAATATATCGCTATTCAAATGACAATAATGGTATGAATCCTTTAATATGCACAGACTTAATTGATGATGAAATGAAAATATTTAAAATAATACTAATTAGTATTAATTGTTGCACTATTAACATTAAGTACTTAACGTTGAAATGGAATTTCTTGAAAAATAATCATTATTCAATTCTATGAAAATTAACCCATTACCTGCCACAATCTCCATTTGGAGATTGAAAATTTCTGTGTGTACTAATTGGTAACACGTGTTTGTCAAGTGTATCGAACTTGTAAATATTATTTTATACACTTTATAATATATGGTTTTCAGTAAATTTAAAATTGTATGTGTGCTGTTTTGATATTATAAATGTATAAATCTAACATTTATCGGTAAACAATAAAAATGTGCTCTATATAAAACAAATGTACGAAAAGAATGTGGTAAATATAATGTCGAATTGCGCGTAGAATATATGAAAAAATGGCACAAAATGTGACATTTAAAAAATAAAATGTTTCGTTCAGTCGAATTTTTTTTCATTGCATCTGCCACAATTTCCATTTGGGTCTTCTTAAAAAATGTAAAATATTTTAAATACGGCTTATGTTTAATGTATTATTACAACGAGATACAATGTTTCAAGTATAAATGAATGCGTTTTTACAAAAAATTTCAAAAATAAAAGTTTGGTAGTTAATAGCTTAATGTGTTTGTTTGATTACCGGCTAACAATAGATCATTGATGTTTCAGTGTGGCGGTCAGAGCGGTGTCTGGATAGTAACTGTGATCTTACTGTTAATTGGAAGCTGCGTCGACAAAGTTGGTCCGCGACCAGCCGATGGAGAGATTGCACACCTGACATCGCCGAAGGAAAGGTTGGAGACCGTGCGACAGGTTCTTTCCGAGGTGCCTTTGATCGACGGGCACAATGACCTACCCTGGAACATTCGAAACTTCGTCCACAATCAGCTGGCCGAGTTCGATTTCGACAAGGATCTACGACAAGTCGCACCGTGGAGCAAGAGCGCGTGGAGTCAGACTGATCTGGTCAGGCTTCGTCAAGGAATGGTCGGCGGTCAGGTAATATTTTCTTCTCCAAAAATAAATAGGAACTCTAAATGTATTCTATATTCCTTCGTGTTATTTTTTACTCATTTTATACATATCATATGTTTAGTATCTATAGTTCTTTTACTTCTTTATTTCTTATATTTATTTAATCTGTTTAAACTATTATAATTTTAATTTATTAGTTTATTCGTTATTTTATACAATTTTTGCTTTATACTGTATGTATTACTGCTGCTTTCTCATTTTCTTCGGTCTTTATTTTTTTTTAATTTTTCATTTTGTCTTTCTTCTGCTTTTAATTCTCTCCTTCCTATCTTTTTTTGTTTTTACTCCTTGACCTTCCCCTTTGTGTTTCTTAACACGTCTTCTTTTCTATTATATCCTTTTATATAATAAATATAAATCTCTGTTATAATTCTTAATATCCACTAACAATAAATTACACGCTTAGTCTGAACACCTTGCATACAGTTGTCTTATCTAACATACACTTCTTTTTTTATCTCTGTGGCCTTCTCTTTTTCTTTCTTTTCTTTCATCTTTAACTTCTTTTAACTTCTTATGACAACTAAGTACCCAAGTACCCACTTTTGTATTTTCTTCTGCACAATTTGTTATGTTCTTAGGAAAATTTGACGAAATTGTTTCGGACATTCACTCTCTGAATAAATTTACAACAATTTTTACTTTAAAAATAAAAAAGGTATAAGAAAATATTGCAATACTGAAATTTGAAAAATTTTAATTCTTCAGTCACTAACAGAAGTATTAACATTACCCCCAGCTGTAAATTTTTTCTTTTATTCAGTTAAATTACTCATTACTTTATCATAAATTAAATTTGTATATTAAATCATTCATGCCATTATTATTATTTGAATAACTATACGTTCATACTGAAAATAAAATAATGATTGAATAAGTGTTTAACAAAAATAAATAAATTCATGAATAAGAAATAAGAAATTAAATAAAAACTTTAAGTAATATCATAAAAATTATCACACGTTATATGATATCGTACATAACTCGAAATAATGTCAAAATGCGAAACATCGCATGTCCCAAGCAATTTTCTTAACAACACACACGTTTCGTAAGATATGTGCGTGTTTTCAACACAAGGTCGAAAGATTATTTTTTACCCCATGCGTCTATCACTATCCCGAAGGAGATCATCGTTTTCCGAGACACTCTGTATACACATACCTTATCCAACGTTGCACTCACGGCTACCTTAACCGACGGGTTAAGAAAACTTAAAGGAGAAATATTTTCATGGCACGTTCGCACATATTTCACGCGAAAGTTGAGAAATTACGTGGAACGCAGGTAAAGAGCAAAATAACAAGAGTGCTGGGCGAAGCTCGCCTACCAAAAAATTCACTTGGCTTTTTATTTAGCCAACTAGAAGGTACGACGTAATTAATTTGGGACTTCTTCGCAGATGCGCAGAATTTCTTCTCTTCTCTGGGTCATCCTTATATCCGGTGCAAGTGAACATTGGATTTTATTGATACTAAACAAGAAAACACTAACCAATAAAAATGGTACACCCGACTCTCGATTTACGCGATAATTAGTTCCACGTGGATTTGTTTTACGCGAATGAAAATCGAGTAAATAGAGTCTGCCGGTACAAGAAAAAACAAAGTATTGAAACGAAAAGCTGATACAAGTTTAAAAGATACATATTCATTTTACATGGCCAAACAAAAGAAATAATAATAATTACATTTCAGAAAACAAAAGTACATTTTATTCTGTATGTATTCAACGGAAGTCGGTAGTCTTTTCACCGAAATGTAAAATAGTTTCATTTAATGAATTCCTTTTTGTGCGCCCTACAGTGTCGGAAATATTGATAATCAACCCTGAAATGACAATATATACCAATTTCAATAGCAAACAATTTTGTCAAAACCAGAAAATATATTACACATAGGTATAGTTACGTTTAGGTTAAAACACAAAAGCACGGAATTTCAATCACGATTTTTCCAATATCCGTCATGCGATTACAATGCATCCTATATTTACTTGCCAAACGAATCAATTGAAAATATTCTGTGTAGACATAACTGGATGAAAAATATTGTGGAACGCGTACGGGATAAAAATCTTTTATTAAATTATTGTAAAAAATCCAATCTCCCAGTATTATCTGAATATTTTTATTTACTTCTTTTTAGTTTAGACTCGAAATTTAGAATGTCTTTCTTCGTATATTTGACTTTTGAATTTTGTTTAAATAATAATTGTTTTGAAAAAGAAACAGAATATTCATAATGGAATATCTAATACAACCACGTTAATACTAACCAGATCGTGTATATATATATTTTCATATGAAGACTTCATGTATTTACCCTTAAGTAGACGGATAAAGTTTTGCAACGTTTGTAGGCATAAGAAATGAAAAATTTTTGCCTCGATGATCGAGATAATCTATCATTGCTAGCATGTTTAACTCCTTGCCGTATGATTTTTGTCTCAACTATGATCGATACACCTACTTTGTTATCAACAATTTATTGAAAAAAGACAAAAATTCTGGCCATATTCTATGTCTATGTTTGCTCTAAACTATAATAATTGATAACAGAAGAATAACATTCAATTTGTATTCACAAAAATATAGTAATATTTATGTTTGTTAAATTCTATTTAAAATCTTCACCACGAGCCGGGCACCTTATTATAGGACAAGGGCTTAACAATTTTTGGTTTTACTCAAATTATAGTTTCGTCTAACTATATTATATTTTCGTCTAACCATATTAGTACAATAGTTATTCGCAAAGAATATACTTCAGGAATTTATCTCTGCAATATCCAGTAATTGGTAACCCATTTAGTTAAACTGCCAATGGTAAAATTACTCAGTTTCAAGATTTCCGGAAGTCGCCGAAAACGCCGTCACCTTTCTTGTCAACGACGAGAATTTTTTACGAATTAACAAGTTAGTCAGCAACGAGACTCCACGTGCTCAGGAGCACTTCAACTTTACGTTCATTGTACATTAATTCTAGCAACTAAGATTGCCATATATGCAAGCTCCAAGAAATCAACACTTCAATACAGTCCACTGCGTTTCAATAAAAAATCAGTTATTTGGAGTTTACAGACAGCTTAAGTACTAATCAGCTGCTAGCACATGGTCTTCCGCTACGCTGATAATTTCTGTTGCCGTTTCGTTTATTATTCGTCAATGTTAGTTACATAGATTATTTTATAACTTCAATATAATTTTACCCATAAACGTCAACAAAAAGAAACACATATTCTGGGATGAAAGGATTAAGCGGTATCCAACCTGATCAATTCATTTACGGCGTACTGCTACGAAGTACATATAGGCACTATCGGCGGACGTAATTCCGTCGAACCATAGTAATCGCGTCAATGGAGGATATCAAAGATGCCACGAGTCGGCCGGCTTCAATGTATCGATATAACCCCAGTGCCTCCAATGCAACGCACACCTACACGTGCACTGTCGTTTCTTGTTCTGCGCATCGAAGGACACGATAACGCGGTAACGTCAAGCCTCACCACTGTCGAACCTTGATACTTGCCTCTACCACGCTTGCCATTGCTTACCGATGAATCTGGTTTAACAGATTGTACGCTGATTAAATATCAATTACTGAAATCCTGAGCGCCAATAGTAATATTGCTATATATTTTTGAACATCCATCAAACTGAAATTCTTATCAAAACAAACGAGGCAAGCGGCTTTTTTAATTTTATTTTGGATTTGCATATATAAAATGTAGAATAATGAAGGACCAATGGTTAAACAGTAGATTGAAAATCCTGCAATTACGAGGGAGTATCAGTAAATCAATTTGTTCAATTATTTACTCGAAAATGGTTAGTATTTTATTCGAAAATTTTGGAAGAAGAATTTTGAAACGTGTTATTTTGATATGTTTGGTGATTCTAATGTTTGTGATCTAGAAATACCTTAAGTATAATAGAATATATACTTAATAATAATAATTTGGGGAAAGTAGGATAAAATGGAACGTTTTTGTTTTAATCATGATAACAAACTATTCTTTGCGAAGTAAACCTTTTTTTTGAAGTCTTAAGTAGGCCTTGTTTATAAGAAAATAAAACATTTTTTTAATGAGAGTATTTAGTTATGAAGAAAAATACGATTTTCTAAAGATATTGAAATATTCCTTTCGCAAAAATCATATAAAAATAGAAAATCTTTATCTCTACTAAATCAGAATTGCTAGCTGAATATATTTAATTGGAACGAAAGTTACATCGAACGCATCAATTTCAAGCATATTGAATTTTATAAACATTATTTGTTAATACGTATAATACGAATACGTATCCTGATTGTCTATTTTTAAACCCCTAATTTCCAAGGTCTAAATAAACGAACACCATTCTAGGTACAATAGAATAAACTGTACAATAAATCTCCGTAAATCTAGTGTTAATGAATAAAGTTATAGTTGTAGTTCTCTTTAAACAGTTGCCTACGTGTTAAGCACATAGAACTGTAAACAAAGCAAACAAGTAAATCTGTCAGCATTCTTCGCTCGATGAGAACGAAAACACCACTTTCAAAATGAACGGTCCGATATTACAAAAAATAAAGCAGCAACAGGATGACACCGAAAACGTCCTAGTCTTTACGACTAGTAACGGTGTAGCAATCGAGTGGGGCGCACCTAATGAAACGCCACGACGACAAACAGAAGTGAAACTGAAACAGCCACGGAACCGGACCAATATTACGTTCCACAAACACGGGCATGTTTCTGCTCGTTTTCGACCGCAGACTCGTTACCGGTTCCCTGCATTTTCTTCCTGCAACTTGTTTCTTTTTTCCTTTTTGGTATGTACTCCAGTTCACCTTCAGTTCTCCTCTTGTTCACGAATCTTACTTTTCCGCCATGTCTTTTCTTGGCTGGATCTGCCATTATCGCGAAGAGTTGCGCGTCTTTGATGATTCTCCGATGATCATCGCGAGAACTGTGAACAACTAGTTGTATCAATTTATCTTAAATAATTGGAATAAAAATATTTCTAAAACGTTTCTTACTTATTGAAATGTTTTTTCATTAACACTTTGAGATCACGTGGGTTTAAAATTGTCCCACTTTTTATAATAGTTAATGCATGGTGAGATATTTTTTAAGCCACCGAACTTAATTGAAATTACTTATACTATTATCGTGCAGGCCGAGTTTTTTGATTCTTTAAAATTGCAATTCTTTCACACTTCATTTCAAATTTCAAACTCTTTAGCATTTTAATTTATTAGTTATTACGTATTTAAAAAATCCAATAGAAATCTCATTGTTTGTTTAAGTAATATGCTTTTGTTTAAGCACAGTTCTTTAAGTAACACATTTAAATAATACATTTAAGAGTTTTTTTTCTGTTTTAAAGTTAATTGATTTCCGTGCAAAAAGTGCAGCTGTACTCTGTAGTTCGAAAGAACATGATTGCAGAATATTTTGATTTTCACTAGCTAACGATAATTGAAATTGTTGAATGTGTATGCGACGTTAGCCACGTACAGTATTCTCGCGATTAGTACCCGGTCCGATCTGCAGGATTAGTGCCCAGTAGTCATCCCTATCACTGAGAGGCAGGTAATATGATACGCTGTTCAGTGGTGGTAAATATCAGCGAGACAGTATTAAACGCAATTATAAAACTTTTTTATAAAGATTTTTTGTAAATGAAACTTTTATCAACGTATTTATAAAATACTTCTGCTTAAAACAGGATCAAACATGATATACTTTAAATCACAAGTTACCACAAGGAAATAGATTATTGTAATTTATTAAATAAATAAATATGTTCTACAATGTATTGTGTTTTGTTTCGTTTGAATGTACTTTGCAGTCGATTTATTTTCAATATTGTTGAGTGTACACTTGTATTTATTTTTAGGGAAATGGATTAAAGTAATTTGCAGCAGTAGAATTTAATGTCTTATATTTATTTTATTTATTATTATAATAATATTTAATTTTCATAATCTTTCAAAGCGTGATACTTTGTCAAACAATTTTCAACGTTCTATAACAAATTTTTATTGTCATCTTCAGCATGACATACGAGTGTAAAGGCTTAATATCCTCTGATTTATCTGATTGTTTAATCGTTCCGAAAATCGGTCATCTCGTTCTTTCATTCTTGCTGTCCTTCTCTACAAAGAACAAACAAGATTAGTGTTGCAGCCCCGATTTTCGGGTACTAATCACGAGAATACTGTATTCGTATATTTTCACGACCGTCTTTTTATTTTTCTTGGGCATTGTCAAAATAATGAAGTAGTTCTCTGCGCGATTTCGAAAGCGACAGACGTGCTCGTATTTAGGTTTCTAACTAAATAGCTCGTCGGTAAATTGCCTACTCATGTTAGAAATCCATTAAGATTCTGCAAAACAAAAATTGCTATGAAAATTCATATCTCTAGTATATTATTTAGACGAATAGTTTTTTTTATTATTATCTTATAAAAGAACATGTAATAATGGTCGTTGATTATATGATTATACTGTTGCAATTTACGTGGTCTACCTAACTATAAGTTGCACTAACTTCTCATTTCGACGATTATTTATAGGTGCTATGCGATACCATATTTGTAGCACAGTAAATTACAAGCGCAGACCACGGTCATGAAATTTGTCACAGTTGTGCTGGTCGAAGTATCGCGTAATATATCTAACAATAATAATGAACAATGATTTTATTAAATTACCATAATGAACCAAAATGCTAGCACCATGAAGTAAATGCTATTCTGTAAATTTCACAAATTGAATTGTATGGTACACTTATTCACTGAGCTCAAAAAAATAATTTAAAAATTATTGTTAAAATACCGCAAATGTGGAAAGTGGAAGGAAAGGTAAGGGAAAGGAGATTACAAAATCCGATCTTAAAACTTTACGTTTATAATGCTTTTTATTATTTAATCCACACCTATGAATTTTATTATTTCCGTACCTACGAATTTAGAAAAAAACGCTTTTCAATGTATGGCCGTAATTGAGTAATTTACTAGTTACTACGGATAACTGTTTAATTAACAGAAACAAATTAAGATTAATATTGGTCGATTATTAATTATATTGGTTCATACCAATCCTCCGTAGCAATTGACAATTAACCAACCATTAATTATGATTTTCGAATAATTTATCTGTGGTTATGATTAATTTGATTATAGATTACTGTTGCAATGATTACTCTACGTTAAACTTGTGGTTAAACGGTTAAATTATATAAAATTGTCCAACATGAATGTTGATCTGCCATATCGACTGGGTGATTCTTATAAACTTGTTTGTCCCAAACACAGAAGTAGAATTGTATTTAGCTTTTTAAAACAGGAATTTCGGTAAAACGATCAGCTTTGAAAAAGAAAGATGTATTATGTAATATAATATAAAATCCAAATCATCTATACCAAACAGTTTTCTAAACATATAAACACGAACAATCAATAGAATTCATACTGTTCGATCCTTGTAAATGATTATAATCATCTACTCTACATGCGTACCATACTCACTCTGAAATATAAGCAGAATGAAGCAATTTACCTTCTTTTGTACTTGGTAATTTACCAAAGGGTAATCCGGCCAATTTTTTGTTCGCAGTTTTGGGCTGCTTACGTGCCGTGCGAATCTCAGCATCTCAACGCGGTCCAGCTGACTTTGGAGCAGGTGGACCTCATTAAGAGGCTCATAGAGAAGTACTCGCAACACATGCAGTTCGCTGCATCTTCAAGGGGTAGGTATCTTTCATAATTATCTGAAACGAGCCGTTGCACGGGCCTGAAACCGTAGCGACACAGAAACGTTCCTTTTTTCACTTTTTCTTTCTTTCCTTTTTTTTGTTTCTTTCTGCGCTAGAATACGGCGCCTCCATTAAACACAACCCATAAATTCCGGTGAAACGTGAAACTTTCCTTGTTCCCCACAATATCGGTAGTTTCGTCGATGGCCGACACTATTTCTTATCGATTCGGCGAAACAATGGTGCTCTAAATAAACTTTTGTTGTCTATCCAGTTACGTTATAGAGTTTCATGAAGTTTGAACGCCTTTAAAAGCGATTTTCATTGCAGCAAAATATAATCGGTCATTAAGTATACAGAAATGGTTACTTTCAATTTACGCAAAATTAATTTGATTTGTTTCTTAATGGAACGCAGAATATGTTTGTAACGAAATCTATCTAAATTGAAATTTTTATTAGCGTTTTCTACATAGAAGCATTTATTAAAGAGATATTCTTTTATACTCAAACAAATCGTTGAAAATGTGTAGTTAAATATCGTTAGTTCTTATGAACTTTTAACTTTATTAATTATTAGTTTGGAGTCTATCATGCTATTGTTAAAGTTATTCATGATTATCAGCAATAAATTTTCTAGTTTATTTTATATAAAATGAATTACAGAATTTGATTGCACATTGATCTTTATAATCCTTATCAATACCTTCCACGACCACTTTCAATTAAATTCCTAAATTCTTTAAATTTATTGTAATAATTAACTATAATTCACTGTATTCTGAGATCACTCATACAGTAACGTAAATCAGAGAAAACAAAGTTGATTTTTAAAAAATGTTACGGTTGCATTTCGAAATCAATTCAAAATCAGTTTGCATCAAGATACTCTCATAATTAGTGCTTAAATTTTTATGTAAAATTTGATTTACAGAAATCTTGGAAGCCCATGGAAGAGGCAGGATAGCATCCCTAATCGGAGTGGAGGGTGGACATAGCCTAGGAAGTAGTTTAGCTGTTTTAAGGACATTGTATCAATTGGGTGTACGGTATCTCACACTCACGCACACTTGTAACACACCGTGGGCAAAGAGTTCGTCGGTAGAAGACGAGGATGAAGAAGGTGAGTACCATTAAACAAAAAAATACTATTATTTTTAATGTATGTTTTATATTTATGTAGCTACTGTTAAGATGTACAAACAAACGAATATTTATTACACTTGCAGATTTTAGACTATTAAACTTCCAAATTCAAAATTCTTTCATACTTAAAACCACAATTAAATACCGAAATATTAAGATATCACTAATTATAAATATTAAAAAATGTAAAACATTAAAATGTACATAAAAGAATTTTGACTAATTAATTGGTTTATATTTAAGCAATCAATATATATATAAATAATACAAGATCAAGGGTACGATTAATAGAAGATAAATGATCATAAATAATTTTTGTTCATTTCTGTATATAAATTTTATTAAGTCTTATAAACCTTACAAAATATTACTACCAAACTTCAATCAGTATAATACACCTAGGATCAATTTTTTTAATGAATAAATTGGAATGATAATAAATATAAACAAAAATATGGTAATTTGCATAGTCACACTTATTAACATAGATGAAATAAATAAAGTTGATCTTCTATTACAATCACTATATAATACACAATACATATTTAGTGAAATGAATGAAGCATTACTTTACAATGATTAAATAATATTTAAGATCTAGAGTCTTACACACACAATACAAATTCACAGTACCTATCAATGAACCACAGCATAAAGCTATTAATTATAAATATGCAATTTATCGTACAAAAGGCCACTCTTTCTATACTTTCCTTAAATGGACTTTCATCGAAACTAAACTCTGCACGTTACTGAATACACTTCTTCTTCATTTTAATGTATTCTATACATCTCTAAGCTTCTCCATTCCGTATTAATTATTTTGTGTATAGATTCGGTGCATGAATGAAATAAATCGCTGAAAACATGGCGGCGTGACGATTCGAACACGTTAAGAGTCGTGATACCCATTGTACTGAAACAATAAACGTGAAAGACAGTAAATAGGGACGAGAAAAGTGAGGTTCGCTTTTGTTTCAGGGGGCGGCCTGACCGTGTTCGGGAAAGCAGTAGTCAAGGAAATGAATAGGCTCGGAATGCTGATAGACCTTAGTCATACAGCGAGGGCTACCATGAGGGACGCTTTAAGGGCCAGCAGAGCACCCCTCATTTTTTCTCACTCTTCGGCTTTTGCCATCTGCAATTCCTCGAGGAACGTTCCCGACGACATTTTAAAGCAGCTGGTACGCTACGTAATGCTTATAAATTGTGACATAACCGTCCCTCCATTTACGCGAAATATCCGATCCACGCGGATTCGTATTACATGAAAGAGAATCGCGTAAATAGAATTCGCTAGTCCAAAAAAGAAACGAAATATTTGAAAAAAGCTGGTACATAGATTACTGCGAAAGTTTCAGAAATCCGCTGACATTGAGTTATTTGTTATTTTTGTAAAGCTTCACATTAAGTTTAGAAAGTGCTGACATAACACGATGGAAGATATATTAATATTGGAAAAGAATATTTTGAATAAAATCATTAGTTCAAAATTATTCGCGACTTTTGTCATTCTTTCTCGAAACTTTTGTAGTAACGCACGTATAACCCATATATAAATATTTTATATTTACAGCTGAAATGCAATTAGGTTAATAAGGTTCAAAGAAAATTTTCATTTCTTTAAATGAAACTTCATTGAATTATGCATTTTATTTGGAAACTTTCTAACCCAGATCCATGTATAAGTTTTATAAGTACGTATTTATTTCACAAAGCTTAACAAAAGAAAGTAATGACATTTTAGAAAATAGAAATAAATATTCGGTGTCACTAAATTTAGATTGCGTATAAACAATACCGCATAAATAGTCTTATAATGTATTGCGTAAAAAGAGACTCACGTAAAAGACAGTGCCGCATAAATGAAGAGACAGGTTTATGCAACTCGAAATTGGCGGGAATTGTCTACAACGCCACGTTCTCACGTCCCCAAACCTTCAACGCTAGTTATGAGAATATTAACATAAACTGCTTTCCGCCAACTCAGTGTACCTTTTAACTTTAACAAACTTTATGTATAATAAAGGAATGCTTTTAGAAGTTTTTAACAAAACCAAAACGTTTATGTGGAATATACACGTGTATAATCCTCTAAGTTTGGGGTAGTGTGTACCTACACTGCTGCACTCAATTTTGATTAAAAGTATAAGATCCTAGTTAGACGGAAAAACTTCGATATGAAAGATTTGCCAGTACTTAACCCAATGGTGTCTAACATAAGCTTCAAAACTTACTTATACTTCCACCACTCTATTCGTATAAGTTACTCTACTTTGCCCCCATTACCTTCTTCATGGACTAAGAGATACATTTTGTTCATGAATAATTAGTAGACTGTGGGTTTTCATACAAATTCAAATTTTGAAGAATGTAATTAGAAAAAAAGAATTATAATAGAAAATGGTTTATCCTAACAAATGCTATGAAAAGCACTACACCTTTTTCACTAGTTTCTAAACCTAATTTTCTAAAATATCAGTTGTTTGCCGCTATCAATATAAAGGAACGGAAACGAAAAGTACTTACTGATTTATTTATCGAAATGTATGACCTACGACGTAGCACACATATTTTCCAAAATTTTAAACATTATAGAAAATTGACAATGCAAATATACTTAATACACCGTAAGTACACAATTCGGTGAACATTTATTTAATAAAATAAAAAATTGATTTGATAAAGTGGAAATTTCCCTTTGAACTTTCATTCTTAAAACTTCCCTTCTTAAAAAATGCGAGTAAACTTTCCGTTAATTATACTTACACGTTCAGAATAATTATTATCGAAATGAGTGCACTTACTAATTGCGAAGGAGCCAAGCAGTTAAAATTCGATCGATTGATAGAGCAGAGACTGCGGATATCGGTGAGCTATCCGAGAGTAAGACACGCGGTCGGACTAGGCGCGGTTACACGGGAACATTGCAGTAGGTCCGGTCGAAGTAGTACGTGCCGCAGTATCTGCGGTCAGGAACTGCAGCTGCCAGGAGGTGCGGTTAACGTCTGAGGCTTTGACCAGACGAAAACTGATTCGTTTTTTCATCAATCATCGCCAAACGATATTACTATCGACATTCTGTCTGACCCCGACGTTCGCGAACGGTAATCCTTACATTAGCAAACCGAAATGTTTGCATCTATCCAAGCGTTTAGTATTGTAACAGATACACATTATATTTTCATATAATAAACAAGTATATAAATATTTCTGTTTGTTACGTTCTCGCGAAAATTTAACTATATTAATATATGCAATATACAAAAGGTATATAATACATATAATGAAATAACAATTAATATTAATAATTATTAATTATGATTATGATTAATAGTATAGAAAAAAATAATATAGAAACGGGTACTTACATACTCAACTTATAACATCATTGTTAAATATTAACATCAGTAAACATCAATTATAAATGATATTAATAAATTTACTAATGGTATTAATTTATTGATCAAGTTATTAATGTTAATATTTATGTTTATATATATTATTACTAACATTAATGTTAGGATTAAACATTCATTGTACCGGTTGTTCTGATATAAAACTTGTGCTCAATTTTTTTTATAATTTTAACGTAAGTTCAAATATACCGCTGATCGAATAATCATATTGTTCGTTGCAGGCTGCTAACGGTGGACTGGTGATGGTAACGTTTTATAATTACTTCGTGAAATGTGGCTCGCAGGCAACTGTCTCCGACGTCGCCGAGCATATTTATTATATTAGGAACTTGATTGGCGTGGACCACATTGGTGTCGGCGGTGACTTCGACGGTATCAACAAGTATGTCTATACTACACATAAGGTAGCAAAATAAGTAACAAAAATAAATAGGAGTTGATTCAACAATACAAACGAACGTACGTGCATTCCCCAGTGATTGATAGAGACATTCTGTAGGTGTTAAGAAATATTAAAAATTCGTGTCATCTTGTTTAAAAGATACTAAGAAAGTCGACGTACTTCTTACACGCATTTTTTTTACAAATTAAAATTGAATAATTTTCCAAACTTGTTTTATGATTTTTTTAAACATAAATATCGTAAATATCGTGTTTTCAAATTTGTTGGATTCCATCGCAAATTGTATGTTTTATGTACAATAGAATACATTTTGTTCTTTAAAAACTATAGCATTAATTTACATTTTTTGAGCTAGTTAAAGTAAAGAAACAGTAAAATCTGCGTACTTTATCTTTAATTATTACTAATGAAATACTTTATTAGTGTTTTTTTAATATTAAAGATACATGAAAATATATATAGAAAATTTAAGAGTGTACATTCATTTAATATTTTAATGAAAAATTCTACAGATTATCTGAAAATATCGCTTCTAAACCAGAGGGTACTCTTAAAATCTTTTAATTGCATGGCACTAACATGTACAAGTGAGTAAAAAGTTCTTATATGTAGATTCATTTTCGAGGACATTAAACTTAAGTACTTAAATCCGTGTTTTTAGCATGTAACTGTAATAAGTATAAATATAATGTATTTAACCATTGCCTGATGTTTCTACTTGCGACGAATATGGTTCATAGCGCAGAGATATCTGTAAATAAAGGTTCTCGCTAAGCATTTTAAATAAAAATTAAAATTAAAATATAAAATCCTCTGTATTTTAAATAAGGCTCCGGTTATAATAAATAATCGTGCATATTTAAAATACCACTTTGACACATCATCAAGTATTACTATCTATTAGTTTTCCTTATTTGTCTTCCAATAATTTCATCATTCCCTAAACATCAATTTATGTAAAATTTAACATGAAATATTTGAAAATTTAGTAATACCACAAATAAAAATAATTAATTGTCAGATGTCATGATAAAATTATATTCAGAAGCACCCATGCCGCAATTTTTTAAAATTAAATAGGCATCATATGAACAAATTATATCTTATAATCCATATTTTCTTACCAGATGAATCAGCTCCTATCAGATTAGAACAGTTTTCAAAAAGAAGTTTGACAGAAATGAATAAAAGATACTATTAAATGTCCTCGAAAATTTTAATACTTACATTATTCATATAAATATTCTAATAAAAATTAAACTTTGAGCAACTGAAATATTTCTAACGAATGAATTTTCAATTGAAATGCGTGAAACAGATAAAATTATAAAATGGCAAACAACCGTTTACTTTCCGCCGATCTGGCAGTTTCTTTCGAGAAAGTAAACAAGAATTACTGATTTAAATCTTAAACATTACGATTCGAGATCAAGTTTGAGCCGTAAGTTTAATTAAAGGAATGCGCAGGACTCTAATTAACCTTCTCGCTGCGGCTGTGTTACCTTGAAAAGATTTATCGCCTTGTGGGCGCAGCGGGACCAGCGTACACCTTTCTGTAGACAGAATTTACCGGTCGCGTCGTAAAATTTATCGTATCTGTACAAGTTATTGTAAACTAGCGAACGGAAAATTAATGGCGCTGGAAATCTAATTATACGATCATAAATTCTTTTTCTTGCTTGTTAGAGAACATGGCGGCCATTTAGCTGGTTGCCGTGTTGGCTTTTAATTGAAAGTCCATCATTTTCGAGGAGAAGGGTTAATCTTATCTAATTATTATATCGTACATTAACTTCGTTTGAAACACCAGATAGGGACCTAAATAACCGTTGATAATTTTATTGTTTAATCAATTATGGTTATCGAAATATATATCAGCCAATGACGAATAGACTGTAATGAACAATAACATATAAGTGCAGTTTAATTGTTTTAAAGCCGCAGAATAAGAATAAAATATTGCATGTTCAAAATAACAACATAAAAATAAAATAAATCTATAAAATTCAGGCTGCTTATAAGTTAGAAATAGCTATGTTTAATAAAGCTACGTTGAAAAGTTCTTACACATTTGGATTTTCATCTAAGCAATCATTTTTTATATTAAACATAATTGTGAAATATCTTTTTTTTATTTTGCAACGTTAAATTCTGCGTTGTCGGATGAAAAAAATCGCTAGAACAGAATAGGTATAATTATAATTATAATTATTTGATAATTATCAAACTCGGTTAATCTAGTGTTATCAAACTCGACGCAAGGGTATAATCGATTTTGTTAACAGAACACCGCGAGGTCTCGAAGATGTCTCCAAGTATCCAGAATTGTTCGCTGAACTTCTTCGTAGTGGGAAATGGAACGTGCATGACTTGAAAAAAGTCGCCGGTCTCAATTTGCTGAGAGTCCTACGAGAGGTTTGAATTCTAATACTTCAATTCAATAATATACATAATTATCTAATAAATTCAATGACATAAACCAACTTCTTAAAAAAATGTTTTGGCAACAAAAATGATTCAGAATTCACGAACGGTATGCATACGGTGAAAGAAAATGGTAAGTGATGAATTAACTCTTGCACTAAACTTGGACCATTTTCACCTAAAATCTAGCTGAGAACAATATTTTTTTTATTTATTAAAATTGAATCATTTACTAAATATTATCATCGCGCCAAAAGCCAGAAACAAATTAACACTTTTTTAAGAGGAAGAAATTATAATTTATCCATATAAGAAGCATATTAACGTTACAGTTTGAAAATGACTTGAAATATATGATATAGGATGAATTTGATTCATATTTACTTAACCGTGAAAGATTTATCAGAGATCAAGCAAATATGAGGAAGCGACCAAAATGTTTCTTCGAACTTATACTATTTCCGTAAGAACCATATTTTCCCGAAGAATCAAAATTGATAAATATTACTTCACTTCGCTCGCTTTCTAATCCCTATGTAGTAATGTTGGTCCCAGAGACTATTCAATAATTAAATTTAAATAACTTTAATGTTAATGAATAAGTCTAATTAGAATAAACATTATTTACAAAGCTTGTCTGCTGTAATTGATAAGGAAGATACATTAACACTAAATTTGACATTTATTGTACAATTTATTCTACTATACCTAAAAAAATTGATGTTCGTTCATATGCATCTTGAAAATTATAAATTTAAAAATAAACAATTCAAATACATATTCGTGCAACTGCATCAATCAAAACTGATATAAACATTTACTAGATAATGTATATGAAATTCAATATTCGTCAAATTGACGAGTTCCGTAAACCTAGCGTTATGAAAGATCATAAAGAAAACCTTAAGAACTCGTTACAATATTAAATATATACTAACCCAGACCTAAGCAAATAACTGCCCAACGCGACCTTGAGTTAGAAAACAAAGGTGGTTCGTACAATCCTTAACTTTTTCCGGTCGGAGCACTCCGAGAATGGGCTACTTTGTCAACAATTTTCAACGTTCCATAACTTTGTATTGTCATCTCCAGCGTGATATACGAGTGGAAAGGGCTAATACTTGGTTTGCTATATAGGAAATACCTCGTGACCCGAATGCAATCCATTAACAAGAACAGTTCCTCTAAAAGCAATTGATAATTAAGAATATCTGTTTCAGGTGGAACGGGTGAGAGACGACATGAGAACCTCAGGAATAATGCCATCCGAAGAATACCTCCAGGATTCGCCTGACACAACCGGCAGCTGTGCGCTCGATATCAATTCCGTGCAACGAGTGACGGAAGTTTGATCGTTCTATCGATTCGTCCTGTGCTTCACGATCGCGCGCGAATCACCCCTTCACGATCATCTCGCCGTCCCATTCTCTCAACAAACGGGCATAACTCGCGTTTGGAATCAGGAAAATCCGTGGGCGACCAACGAGGAGCGAATTACTCGTTGCCGGACACCCGCCCACTTGCACAGTCTGTCCCTTCTAGATGCTCAATCAGAATAACGTTAAAGAAAAAACCTACCTCGAACGAAGTCTCGCGGACACGATACACGGCTTCGAACTCCTAATTTGCTTGACTATAGATTCGGTTGTTTAGATCGCAGGGCAGAATTATTTTTTAAACGAAGATTAAAGAATTCATTGACCATGAATTCACTGCACCGCAGACGGCTGGCTTGTAACTGTTCGAACGACTTACGTGTGCAAATTATTAGACTCCGAATAGGGTTCATACTTCTTAGTTTTCCGTAGAAATATGTGCAATTAAGATCGAAAGCCACATTCTTATTAGGATTTTATGCAGACATGAATTTTCTTGAAAGTTTGTGCTGTCAATGCAAGAAACATGATACAGTAATCATCTATACAAAGATAGTAATGAAAATATTTAAAAGAAGTATAAAAGGCTGATCGAGAACTCCCTAAATTCCATTAATGGAAAACACAGAAATATATATATATATACATACTGAATGCCAATTGTATGCTAACAAAGTGTAAATAAAATGTTATTTTGGAAAACACCCTCGTTGCTTGTTATTTTATAGTTTGAGTCTAATAATTCTCACACATCTCTTTGTTTGTAATGCGTATTTATAAAACCACACATTTTTATACAAACTTATAAAGACAAAGATACATGTAGACCCCAATTCAGCGGTGGATGGCAAAGTCAAAAACGACGAAGGAAATTCGTAATAGACATATTACCTGTTTGTCTTCATTCGTGAGTTATATCGTTTATTACAAACGTTTTTAAATCGTAATTGAAACAAGAATTTAGTTAGTGAAATATTTTTTTTCTGAAGGTATTGGTCTTAAGATTGCAAAGAAATAAGAATCGAAGCTATTTTAATATCTAAAAGTGTTTTCCTCTTATTTTACTACAGCTTGATTGTATCAAGAATGTTTCCAAAATGTTCATTATCTCCAGACAGATATATTTTATGAAAATAAAATGACAAACTGAGAAAATATATTCATGATATAAAGGTACATGAAACTCTTATCGTTCGAACAATTACAAACGTTAACAAAAGAATATTCTTTATAAAAACAACTAAACCGAAAGACATTAAAATTCCGATTATGTAATTCGTAACATTAAACTGCGAATTCCATTCTATGCTATAAGCGAAAAAGATAATGAAATCAAAATTTCAATAAAGATTGATAAAATTTTTATTTAAATTTTACTTTAATAATCCTTTTGACGGAACAATGTTTTGTTTGAGTCCAGTCTTTATACAGAATGATAAGAACGTTAGGAGCCGCATAAAAGTCCGGAGTATTGACAGATATAAAGATACTTTTCAAGTGTGTTTGAAAGTGTTATATGTAAACCTAATGCACGAGATTATAATTCTACCGAGATTCTGTAAAACTGTATATCGTGGTGTAATTGAATTCAACCCTGTTTTCTTTTTGCAAGAGTCAAAGAAGTTTAACATCAGGCAATCAAAAGAATCAATCGTATGTGCTTTAAGGCATCAGATAAAACAAAAAGAATCGATTGAGACAATATAGAAGTTTTTTTCTACACCATGGCACTCTTGTATTGTAAAAAAGGAATAATTGTGTGTAAACCCGGCTGTGTATCTTCATACGTCTTCCCCTATCCCTGTCATTGCACCGATGAAAACACGTGCACTTTTAGAGCCAACGTAAAAAGAATAAGAGTGAGCATCCACTTTTCAAAAGAGTTGAGTTCATCTGTAAATTTATTTCGATCGTCGCAGAAAAAAGCAGAATAAATATCAGGAGGAAAACATATCGGATACAATGAAGTATATACTTGAAAGCTCAAATTTGTGCAATGAAATTGCATTTATTAAAGTTTGCTAGACTGGAAATTAATGAACTTCATTTTAATATTCCATTAAGTGTATTAAGATCGAATTAAGAATGGGGCTAAGTTCAATGAGTACTTACAAATATAATTCAATGAAATATCCGGTATTTATTGAAATAATTAAAATAATTTATTGCATAGTCTTCTCATATATTAATGGTATCATTCATCCAAATAATAATGAACAATTAATTAATTATAAATATGAAAAAAGACTGCTATTTTAAGTTTGATAAGATTGATACATTTTTTAATAATATCTAAATAAAGCTTTACAAACTGCTTAAAAAATATAAATACGTTGTTTTAAAGATATTTTCGAAAATTTCTGAAATACAAGATGGAGGTAAAGAAAATTTGTGAAACAAATTTATTATTGATTTTCGATTATATGTTTTATGTAACATTATTTCATTACATGTTACAAATGGTTTAAGCTGCATACAATTTCAAAAGTTGCACATATATTTTACACCAAAGATCAACATAGAACTTCCAAAATTTTATGACACTAATTTCAAAGATATCAACAAGAAAAGTGCTTTAAAACTGACAACAATAATAACAGTAACACTGAAAACAATATATTCTCAAAGTATATATTCTGAAGGTCACATTTAATTGTAATTAAATTTAATAATAATCTTGAAACCAAAAAGAAACCAATTACTTTTGAATCGATACTTGGTCCCAAAATAGTGATAATAATAACTCATGGATAAGATTCTAATGAAAGATAGTCATTGCATTAATTCGATCTTTAGTGTATACGCAAAATGACGAGCACTTATTAATTATCTATTATCATTTCCATATGAGAAAAAACAAATCTCGAATGTGTGAAAGAGGAAACGTTATTCACAGTGTACTTAGATAGCCCTCTGATAGGGTACAAGTTGCTCACAGGAAACAAACATCACTAATGTAATCAAGCATACGTGCGTATTTCTCAAATCGTAATATCGGGTGTAATCTATCACTTGTACGCACCCACATTCTCCTCAACAAAGTATCATCTAAAACTTTCGACGAGTCATCAGAAATTATTGGGGTTCACCGTGAGTTCCGTTCAGTGTTTCTTGTATTTTCCGAAGCAAACTGCAATCCCACGATTTCTGTGTGTCGCCGTTCACCTATCTGTGTCTTGTGTGCACTTATTACATGATCCATGCGAATTAAATCTTCAAAAAGAATTAAAAATTGGATTACTACCGCGAAACAGGAATAATCGATGAAGCCAATTCGTATGGATTACACCTAACTCCTATATGAGGAGTGGGTAAGGAACTTTAGAATATCAAAAATTCCGTTGTACCTTCGCAGCGGATTCTATGAATAAATGTTTCTATTGTATACTTGTCATTTTAGTTTTTCTTCTTACTTAACCCTTGAACACTTCCCTTTTCAGCATACGCTGTATTAAATTCGGAAATACCTCAAGTACTTAATATTTTAAATATTTTCTTAATAGCAAGGCTGATTGTTAAATTTAATTTTATTTAGATGTTCAAAATGATTACTATGTAGTAGTTGAAGTACATGGGTTGAATATTTAGAAGAAAGTATGATTAGAATACGTCTATGATTAATTTCAACAGTTTATAACGTAAGTATTGTTTACATTTCATTTATATTAAATTGCTCTATGTAAAGCGGCAAGATTTAAAAAAAAATATTGTATTTTACATTATTAGATTTCAAAATACAAAATGATATTACAAAAAGTATTGTAGACATATTTTTTACAATTTCTTTCCTTTTAATATAAAGACAGATTATTTAACTTTGTAAAAAATTGTTCGTCCAACTGACGAAACTCAAAAGCACATTGATTTCTTTCAGTTTTGAGATCTATCTCGTGATATAACAACGATTCCAGACACAACGTAGCTCGAAGCTTTCCATAAGCTTCAACTTTCGCAAAACAATCTTTCGCTTTGGCGAGTGCTTTAATAGCCTTCAAAATAACTTCCTTCCGTGCATTGCCGCAAACAGGAGCTGTAGCAACTAAGCATTTCGCGTATAAAACGAACGCTCTGCCCTGATCATAGTACCCAGCATGAGCCAAAATTTGAGTAATAACTTCTTCCACTAAATTCAACGCTAACGTTGGCATGCCCATTATCAACTATGAAAATATATGAAAAAAATTAATATAATATATTCAATAAATGAATTCAAAATATAAATTTATTGATAAAAGTAAATTTATTGACCTGAGTATTTGAAAGGTGCATTTTAATTAAAGCTTCGTAATAAGATAAATGATTTTGTACAGCCAATTCTAATGCTGTATTAAGAAGCACTAAAGAATTAACTCCAGCCATTCCGTTTTCCGGTGAATCTGATGCATACATTATTTGACTCAACAATAGCATAGCTCTTATTTTATTTTGTAATGTTATTTGTTCACATTCTTCGATACTATTGATATAATCTACGCCTTTCAGATAATCTCCCTTTCCTAAACAAACTTCCGCTAACCTAAAAATTTAGATTTTAAAATGTAAACTAATATTCAATAAATGAAATCATACTTTTATTTTACCTGAATTTACTTTCCAAAGGATCTAAGCTCGAAATATTCATTGCTATTGTTGCAGCCTCGCTCCATTTCTCATGTCTTATTAACTGCGTAAATATGTAAAGTTGTTCGCTTAGCATCCATATCTATAAATCCGAGTATGACATATATAATCAGAAATTAATATTTAAACATAACATCTACAATCGTATCTACAAACGATACCTTATTGCAAGGTGCATTAGGAAATCTTTCCTTGGCATGAGCAAGCACTATATCAACTAAAGAATATTCACCAAATTCTACTAAAATATTTGCAACAGTAACAACAGCCTGACAAGTAGATGGTCCGTTGAACATATACTGTTTCTTATCCCCTGTATTGTGTAAAAGAAGTAACTGTGCAGAAACTGAAGACATTTCGGTTTTACCATAATATGCCCATAATGCAGATTTCTCAGCATATGTCATTGACATTAAATCGAGCATAGAATGTTGACAATTTAGAACGTCAGATTTCATGAGAGTCTGTAATAAAATAATGAGCTGTAACTAAATTGTAATTAAATATAAATATTATTTTTAATTCTGTAGTAAATATATGTAAAAGTGTACCTCAAACACTTGTGATGGATTTTTAGCTTCTAAAGCAGAATTATGGGCATATGCAATAAGACCCAAACCAGTAGTGTGAGTTATTCCTAACATGCTTGCTTTACCAACTGATCTTTCTATAAGTAGTCCCCTATGTAACAAAAGTAATGATAAATGTTACATATTTGTACATATCACTATAGTAACTCTAGAACTTCCATGCCTCAAGCTATTATGTACACTCCTAACTTCGTTTCCTTGTTCTTATATAGAATATTTATTATTAGGGACCAGAAACAGTTTGTGCGAGATATTAACTCCAAATCTACAACAGCAATTAACGTAATTTGCTGCTAATACCAATTTTATTCATTAAATTAGTGAAATACTAATTGAAATGGAACACCAATTCATTGCTATCAAAAACTGCACAAACTTTTTCCGATGCTTAATATATATAATGATGAGAATTTTTAAATATTAAATTTTGAATATTGAACGACCATAAACAAATTTTTGAGAATTTTTTACACAATGGTGATAGTTTTAATTTAATATTATCAAACTTCTGATTTTGAGGAGCTGAACCCACTAAAAATTTTAAAATTAACCCTATAATGACCAATTCATTTTTGAGACAATCAAATGATACTTATATATACATTATTTATATCCACGATAAGTATTATGTACACACTTAATTATTACGTACAATTATAATGTAGTAACCTTTCAGTTTATATAAGTGACATACAATGAAATCTCTGTGATTTGATATAGACAAGACGTTAAAAAAGGCCCACTAAAAATTTACATAGATATGTTCAAATCTCTTTAAATGTTAGTATTGACAACTTTTTTGTCTTGTAAATTTTATTTAAATTAGTCTTAAAAAAATTAACGCGAGAATAAATTGCAGGAATGCATAACAAAGTTTACATTACAGTAAGAAAAAAAGTATTTTTATATACTTTAATTTAAGTATAAGGAATTAATCTATTTATATATTTGAGAACAAAGTATTTAAAGGAATGTTAAATAATAACATTAACCCTTGGGTTACTAATGGTTTCAGCAGTTCTGCAAAACTCGTAAATAGTTATGTGTAATCTACATGCATCCTTCTTTTATTATTCTATTATTTATGTGATTCTTTTACTTATAATTAATAATTTAAACTCTAAAATATTATTTAAAAAAAATATAAGTAAACACAAAAATATAAGTAGATTAAGTATGATATAAATACAAGGCAATTGTATGTTATATACATATTTTTTAACAATTAACAATTGTCAGTATCTCTGAGAGTTAAGATTATTACTATAAAAATCGTATAATAGAAAGACATTTACTTTTAAAAAATTGGTATCCAAATATTTCACACAATTAAAATAGTAGGAATAATAAGGAGTACCTATGTTAATAAATATTAACACTTACTTCTGCTCAGTAGTAAGATGATACATCCAAGCATGTGCCAACTGCAAACAGACATTATCTCCTGCTTCTTGTGCAATCGTAATAGCCTCTTTTAAAGCAGCTTGCGCTACTTCTCTATAAAACAAAAGTAGTTAATATCTTATTCTCAAGTAATAAAGTAATGAGAAATAATAATAAATACATACTTATGGTTGAATTGAGCATGTAAAACTGCTAAATTTAAAGCCGCATATCTATAAATACGAGAACGATCTTCAGGTGCAGAACGATTTTCCAAAGATGCTAATCTATCGAAGCAATGATAAAGGCTATCTATAGCTCCACAGTATTCATTTACTCGTAAGCAGTTTAAATAACTTAAATAATGCTGAAACACATGAAAAAATGAACAATAGACTAAATTCTTTATGTACAGTCTTCAATTCCAAACATAAAAACTATTTTCTTACCAAACGGTACTCACAGCTTCAGCATAGTAAGGACTACAATTTAATAGTTCTCGTACAAGGGCTTGCAACTGTGCAGGAGGCATCGCTTTATGTTCATCTGTTTGCAATGCATGCGCTTGTTGCGCAACAAGTAATTCAGCTTGTCTTCCACCCCAAGTTGTTCTAGGTCTGTTAATAATATGAAACATGCAAATATAAAATATAATAGTGGAAAAAAATACGTATAAAGGAAATGTAATTTGTGCTCCAAAATTCTTACTCTTTCATATACAAGTCTTCTGCTTTAGAGCCTGTAGAAATATCTGAACTTTCCGATGTGTTAGCCTTTTTATCTAAATATTTTTTCAAAGCTTCATAAAGTGATACAACTTGATCAAAAGGAAGTTTTTCAAAGAATATAATAACTCTTCTTATGTACAGTCCAAGAACAGAATTTTTATTTAAGGCAGGTAAAGAAAGAGAATGATCCAGAATTGATTTCATAAGACGCCCAACACTGTCAAACAAGTCTAATAATCCTTCAACTCCTTCTCCTTTTAAAGCATTTAATTGTACTTCTAAGCGATGCGCAAACCGATGTAAAACATATTCAGAAGAATATAATACATTTAGAAGTCCATTCAAGTCCATATCTGGTGACTAAAAAGTGTAATAAAATGTAATCTGTCATATTTAATACAATAAAATATGTAATTAGTCTATAAAATAAAATCTATTTTACATAACTATTAATAATTCACTGTATGAGGAAAATACATTTTATAGACACGTTATTTTATAATTCTTTTATCATTAACGTAAATAGAAACACTTACTTGAATCAATTTTAATGCTGCCAAACAAAAGTCACGTCTTTCAACTATTGCTATAATAAAGTTTCTAAATTAATATTCACAACTTCTCAAATGCTTCTTATGATTACATATTTACTATAACATTATTTATTATACCAAAGTTTTCAAAGTCATATTACTATTAACATATGTGTGATTTATTATACCATTGTTATTATGAAACGAGTAATATTAATATAAAAATAATATAAATTGTTTGAAATTCTTAAAGCAAAATTGAAAATATTTTTTAAATTACCTTTAGTTGTTTCATTACAATATTCTTTAATTAAAATGACAGTTGCTATTTTATATGGGGTTAAAGATTCTTTTTGTACTCTTTTTATATTACCATCAATATTTAAAAAATCCGTGGACATAATGAATATCGTATATTAGCAAATATGTAGAATAATTAAAATCATATACACCTAATTCTAAATAGGAGCAAAACGATTTAACGTGGACACATAAAAAACCGGTTGTTTACTTTAATTCAATAATTTTGTCAAAAGATGACTCTGTTTCCAAAACTTTTTACAGAATAAAATCAACTGTATATATCAAGTATGAAATGTCAAAATACATGATTACATAATACATTTATGTATTTCATTCATTATTGAAAAAAAGACTCTCTTCGTATTTTCTGATTTGTGAATTCAGAGAACTGTTCATTAACCTTATTTAGGGTTAATGTCTCACTACGTAAACTATCGTACTAATGAAATATAGTGAACATTGTTTATATAAATGAACAAACGTAAGTATTTAATTAGTCCTAAATCGTTAATTTTACCTAACTTCTAAATTTTAAACATTTTTAAAATTTTATTGTTACAGATTTAAAAAATTTTATTACAGAACATATATTGCATACTCCATGTTTATTTGTATTTAACCACAAATATAAGTATACTAAATGTTAAGGAAAAAAGATCTAGATGATTTATATATCAGAAATAACTTTTAATGATAGAAATGATTCTAATGATGCAATTGCATGATATATCATACAATGAACAATATAGTTCAGTTAACAACTAAAAGGTGCAATTATGACCCATTTAAATGTATTGGTACATCTCAAGAATTTATAACAAATGGATACAAAAACCTCTAAAAATTCATATATTATATATATACATATATGATATATACATACATATATATACATATATATATATATGTATATATACATATTTATATTTTTTTTGCTGAAAGTGTTTGGAATTGGTATTGTTTTAGAAAATAAAGAAGATTTCAAAATTTAATTTTTCTGTACTTTTGTATAATTTGACTTTTAAGTACTTAAATAAATATTTTAGATAAAATAATTCCATCGATTAAAATCAATTCTTCTATCCGTTATGTACTTAAGCATCTCCATGTATAAACACTACTACCATTACGTTTCACTATTAAATATAGACTTTCAATTTTCATGTGTTCATTGGGCTTTCTCTAAACAAATATTCAGTCATCTAATTATCTAATCTGAACACATTAAATTAATTTTTGTTACCAAATAAAATAGATTCAGAGCACAGTTCCTTATTACATATGTTTTTGTAAACTGTGCTTGCCATTTCACATTTTTCTTATTAATGTAGGATATCTTTCTAGCTACACATCTGCTATATATAACAGTTTTTATATCATTGTATGTAACATTAACTTCAAATGATTAGGAAAATAACAAGATATTATATATCTTTGATTTACATGAATTTCATTTTACATAAATACTTCACTATCAACATTATTTAAAAAGTAATGCTGGGTGTAAGAAGTAAATATCTGATGTACATAGATTTTTTGAAGCCACTGTACTTACAAATTAATATTTGTAATATTAATTTTGTTTAATTATTAGATTAAAGTACCCACACAAACCCTTCTGCAAAATGATCCAAACATTTATATTTTTTGACTTGGAAACAACTGGATTAATTCAAGGAAATTGTATGCCAAAAATCACAGAATTATCATTAATAGCAACATCAAGAAGTGCAATATGTGATACTTTAAACCCTATACCAAGGGTTTTATATAAGTTAATTTTACCAATATATCCAGATAGAAAAATTTGTAAGACAGTTGAAACGTTAACAGGTATTTTGATTTTCCTTCTGTATTGTACTTAGATTGCCTTTATTTTAATCCTTAATCATTATTATTTCAGCTTTATCGAATGAAAATTTAGAGAATGTTAAATCTTTTAGCTGTGAGACATACAATTTAGTCAACAATTTTATAAATCAACTTAAGCCTCCAGTTTGTTTTATAGCTTATAATGGAAATAAGTATGACTATCCTATATTCTTATGGGAACTTGAAAATATTGGGAAGGTAAACAAAATAACAATATTAATAGCATTTTAATTTTACATATTAATTTAGATGCTTTTATTTGTTTATATTTACATAGCATGATTTCTTTTATAAAGTATTTCAGTGAAAGCATTCTTAGTGTCGATATGCTACATCTAGTTAAAGATTTCTTCTCAATGAAGAAGGATTCAATAAATCAACAGAATGTTGCACAAGGTGATAAACTTACTACTTGCAACACTGATATTAATATCATGTTAAATGATGGTTATGATCAAATACTATCAGATGTATTAGACGATATCATGTCTAGAAGCTTTGAAAAGAAAAATCAAACTTCTATTTTTAAAAATGAAGAAAATAAATCTTATCCTAATAATGTTCTCAGTACCCCACAAACAAGTTGTTATAAGAAAATACAGGAAATTAATGAAAAAACACCAGAAAATCAAATTATAAAACATTCTAATACAAATCTGAAGCAGAGAAAAGCATATGCACCAAGAAGATTAAACTTTGCAGACACTCAACCAAGTAATTTTAAGTTAACAAGTATTTATAAACATATTGTTGGTATGGATCCTGTAAATGCACATAATGCTGAGGGAGATTGCATTTCTATGATTCACTGTGCAGTTAAACTAGGAAATTTTTTTGTGGACTGGGCTGACTGTAATGCAGTACCTATGGTTAATCACAAGAAACAGTAACCATGCTATATTTTATATACACTTTTTATTAATCCTTTTTTACATATATTTATGCTTATTGATAAAAATAAAGCATCAAAGATTGACTAAAAGTATAATATTTATACTTTCTTCTATTCTTATTAAAATTGTATATTAGGAAAATTATTCATTGCATGTACATATATATATATATATATATATATATATATACAATAATATAAATATTCATATGTATATAAATATATGAATACTTCTATTATTGTCATTATAAAAAATATAAAAAATATGTGGACACATTATGATACTATGCACCATGATTTATCTTGTACCCTATTTAATGTCTCATCTTGTGTCTCATCTTGTACCTCATCTAAAAATTTTGTCAATATACAATAAATTAATTAGGTAATATTAATACTTACTATTAATAATATGGATTATATTTTCTCTTCTATTATATTCTTGTTGGAATAATTCAAATTCATTTGCAGTCACTGTAATTTAAAAAAAAAGAAATAAATTTTCAGTAACAGCTTTCTGTATTGTTTTTATAAAAACTACTATATATATAAACTTACAAATATATTTAGATATTTTAAATGTTTCTGTTTTTGCAAGTCTTTCAATATTCTTTATGATCTTACACAATGTACAAGATATATTCATCATTTCAATCTTTCCAATTCTTCCTAATAAATTATAATTTTTATCCCAAAAATATTCTATCTTGTGTTTTTCAAAAGCGCAATGCATTTCTTTTAACATCTGAATATAATATTTAAATTTAATTTTTAATAATAATTTTTAATAATAATTATTACAATAGCTTTGGTGAACAATAATAAAGTTCAGTTACATGTCATAAGGTATTACCAAATAAAAAAATTGAGTTATTGATTTATTATTCAAGATCCCCTTCAACTCCTCTAACTTGTTTAAAAATAATGTTTCTATGAAATAACTTGCTATGCAATGCCAGTTTTGTGTATCTCTCAATTTCTACAAATATAATAAAATTATGAAAATGATTATTATTATATATATGTATATAGTATACATTAAATTTCTTGAGAACCTTTATAAGACGTATGACAACTTTTGCACGACCATTTCTTGCAAGAATTTCATTTTCTTGATAACAAAATGAACATCTCCATTGATAATCTTCATTGTTTCCATGAATATCTTTGGCCACTGCTATTGCAAACCATTCTTTATTTCTATACTGTAATGAAGTTATTTTTTATACTAAAATATGTAAGAAGTATAAAGTGATACAGAAATACTTCAAACAATTATGGATGCATCTTAACTTTTTGAAATTCATTGAAATTTATAGTACAACCAACAATTCCATGTCTTTCAAAACTTAATGCAGGAACAAAATCAACATGAATATTTTCCTCTTGTGATAAAATATTTAATACCAATGTAAACGCAGGACCACTTTTCCTTATTTTAATTAGTTTGACAGTACCATATTTAGTCACTAATGGCAATTGTGAATTAGCCTTAGTTAAAATTCCTTCAATCCAAGAACGAAATTGATGGGGATTAAGATAACCATTATTTATAAACTTCCTCAGCCTTTTCCTGAAAGATTTATTATATATTATAATATTTATATTTATATTTCATATGAATTTATATCTTCCTTACTGATTTTTTGTGTTTGTTACATTATATTTTGGAGAATTGGTATTTGGGAGTGAATCTGTTATTTGAATTTTAACATATCCTGGTTGGGTAGAACAGAGCTAAAAATATATGTAATATATACACATAACATACTGCACATATATCGCATAAAATAATTACCACAATGATAAATTATATGAATGGCATACTTACATTTATTCTATTAGGATGTATGGGTAAAGATAAAACAACATTTAAATCAAATTCATTTGGCTTCCCTACTTTTGTATTCTTATAAAAACTACCACAAAATATAATTTTTTTGTATGATATTGCAAATAAATCATCTATTTCTTTCATTTTTTTAATTAAATCTTCGATTACCTGTGATATTAATTATATAAAAAGAAATAAAAAATTAAAAATATAATTCAGTTATAGTAATTAATAAAATACCAAGTTCAAATAATAATTGTTTCTTTTTATTTCTTCATCTTTCAGCGATATGAACATTTTAGTTATGATGTTAGCTTCTTTATCATCAGAGAGATACTTTGTTACTTCAGTATCATCCATCTATATTATATTAATTATAAATTATTATTAATCATTTTTATATAACAGTACGTGGTAGTACAGACCTTTAAAATAATAGAGAATTTTCCAATTGTGTTTATAGATAATTGTAAGGAAAAGTAAAATAATTCACGTATTAAAACATTATCTTTAACTTCTGAATTAGTAATCTTATATGAACAGAGAGTATTAATGGTAAATAAATAAATCACAAAACATTTTCACGATAAAATTGCACTACAGCACCGTAAAATGTATTGAATTCTATTTATTGCTCTTAAACAGCTTAGTGTGTATCGTCCTGTCGCACATGTGCAACTGCACGAGATAAATGAATAAAACGAACTTATACTATGCAGTATTCTTGCAATACTTCTATCACCGATAACATAATATAATTTTTAAGTACATGTATTATTTTATTACAAGTACATAGATACCTACTACTGAGCATTGGAACTTAAATGGATGTATAGTCTTCGATTTTTCAAAAGAAAAGATCTGACATCGCTGAATAATCGTCTGTCCCACTTCAACTAATCCAACACGTTGCATTTCACGCGACTGAAGCAAGGTTATATAAACGACTGCTTCTCGTATCTTTTTTTAAAAAGTTAGAGTTAAAATGGAGAGTAGTAAGTATGAGATATAGTAAAATAGTATATCTACATTGTAAAATATTTTTAGCACTTAGATTTTATTTATATGAATTTCTACTTTTGTAACATCGATATTTTGCACACTTATAAATTAGTATTGTTGTACGAAGTAACATTATGAAAAACATAATATTCAACGGAATGAAATGTTCTCTATCTCTCAGTTCTTCTATAACTCAAGTCTCTTTCGATGATTTGGGTAAATCCAAAATTTTGACGCAAAGCAATCGCAATCTTCGTAACGCGTGATCTCCTACGTCAGCAGTTTTCCTTAAAATATCATTCAATTCGTCGCATATTTTGTTTACGTGCTCATCTAGATTACCCGATGATTGAATTTCAACGGAACTTCCGCTTAATTCAGTTTCCAATTTAGCGAATTTCTCGTTCCTTTCTGATTCTTCGTAATGGTAGCAAACGTGATGGACGTTCTGCGAATTTTTAGCCACGTGTTGCAAATAAAGTCGCACGTCCGAAAAATCATGAAGCTCGTAATAGGTAGTGCTGGATAGATAAGCTGGAACTGAGTCATTTAGCGATGATTTCTTCGTAATTGCAGTTGCCATTTTAGTGACGAGATCTTCGTTCGGGCACATATGAGCCATATAATCGAAAGACTCGAAAGCTTCCTGTCGCACCCATAGATTATTGTCCTCTAGAAGACGACAATTCAACTCTGTTAACGCATTTGCTGTCTTAGGACCGCAATTATCAAAGGAGTTGATGTTGTCTCTTAGATAATGCGATGCAGTTGCCCTCACATGCGATGGTAAACACAAAAGCGACGTCAACATCGCTTCCAGAATCTGAAATTGTCAAATCATTTTTCGTGCAAATCTTAATTTTGGAAGATCAGTGTATATAGGGTATAAGACAGAATTGAATATGGAATTATGAAATTCGGGGAGCAATGCTTCTATTTGATGTGCAGAACTACGATTCACGCGGCGTTATTAGTACTTTTAAGAAATATTTTATTTTTAATTTTTCAGTATGTTTTTATGTCCGATGTAATTTGCTATACCTATAGTAGTCTCATAGATACGAAGAAATCATTTTTCATTATCTGAATGAGCAACATATACAAAACTACAGAAAAATGTGTCAATTAAATAGTAAAAATGACAGGGATCTGTTTATCTGCAAATATGACCTATTATAATTTATCATAAATTTTAGCTAAAAGATGAAGCATGGAAATTCAAATTTTTATCAAGGAATCAAAAAGATAATTGACAAAGGTCAATCGAATTCGTTTCTTTTCAAACAAACCACGTTACGTATTGTTACGTACGTTAAGTATTGAGTTAATTATAATAAAAGCAATGCATACTGTATAAAAGGTGTCATCTTGAATTTTTTCCGGCTGGGTGGCGCTAAATAATTTCCACATGAATTCCGACACTATATCCAATTGTCTGCCTTCGAAAATCTCGGTTGTGTTTGAAATAGAATTCCATATTTCTGAGAGTATGTCTACTGTGTTTTCTTCTCCGACATAATTAAGTTTCCCAATTAGAAGCATCAATGTTGTCTTATACACAAAAATGAAAGCATAGAAATGATTACAAATTTGAGGCAAAAAACAATATCAACGATATTTTACCTAATGCAGCTTACAATACGATTCCAATTTTGCACAGTAGGTTGTCGTTGTAATTCTAGAAATGTTTTAGGGATTTCGTTCAATACACAGGCCAAACGTTTCTGCAGAAACGATTTCGTTTTGAATGGCAAAAATCGTGCGATTGGAGTCCAAGATGGATTCTCAAGATCGTCGAGCTCCGTTACAACAGAATGCCTTGTCTCTTCGGAAAGTAAACTGTATAATCTTCCTATCAAATTTTCCAGAATAACGACTTCGAAATCGTTGCGCCGTTGCATCAACGCTGCATAAACTTTTAATAAATATTTCACGTGGCTAACACAAAGCTCTGAAGAACTGATTCTATAAAGACATACGATTTTCCATAGAAAAATGATGGTATGCAATAGGTATTATTATATGTATAATTTGTTATAACTAAGCTATAGGTATTCAAATGAATATTCCAATGCGAGATACCGTTTTACGAAAACCAAAGCAAAAGAATAAATCTACTTTTTTCCGTTGGAAGATGCATTAAATGTAAGAGAAATGCAAGAAAATAGAAAAAATGAATAAAAAAACTTTCAAGAAACATTAAATTCGTAAAACATTAACCCTTTGTATGTATTTGTGCAGTGAAAATTTTAGAAACTAAAACTTTGTTTCTAGTAAAGAAAAATTATAGATAAGTAAGTACTCGTTTTAAAAGTTGGATTTCACTTTCTAGTGTTTTCCGTAGTTGGTATTTGTAGTGTAAAATGTGCATTTTGCTGAAGCGACGCGAAATGATTAATAATAATTTAATGTATTAATTCATTAGTTTAGAAAGCAAAATAAATTCGACCATGAATCATTTATAATGAATATATTTACATAATATATTCAAAAATATGCCGTAGAATGCAGGATACGTATATGTAAATGTGCGTCACAATATATAATACGAATCATTTACAACTCCAGCCTGATAAGATATCAATGGATATACTGTTCAGTATATATTCAGATATACAAACCGTCCTATGAAACACCAAACGTCTGAGCTGAGGAGTGCACTCCATAGTCGATCGCTTAGTAAATGTTTCAACAAAATTAATTCGATAACGTGAAATCCATCCGCAGGAATCTGACTAATCAAACTACAAATTGGGACCAATGTCGCCTCGTATAATGTGGCTAAGCGTGGTCTTTCTCCGATATCGTGGCTACCTGGCAACTTTATGTCCCCCATACAAATTTCTTCTTGAACTATTGAAACGTGTAAATGAAATAAATCAGAACTTATCATTATACCTAATCGCAGTGAGTAGATAATTGCTAAAACGTATATATTAAAACATAATATAATAAATGAAAAATAATTTTTAGATTTATAGAGAATAATGATGTTATTGGTGATATTTTGTGAAGAATATTATTAATCGTATATTTTATATACTTATCATAATAGATACATAAGTTATATTTTACATTGTATTAACCTTTTGCATTGGGAGTCCCCTGTGGGTGACATTTCGAATGCAATATTGATACCTCCGAGCGCAAAGGTTAATTATTTGTTACTACAGAAAATAAAAAGACTTTTTACTTTAAACATTATACTTACTATATTTTAGTAGATACTTACTACTATTTATATTTAACAATGCTACATGGATAATTGATTCTGCACCCAGCGTCCATTTACAGTGTTGTTCATAAGACGTGTTCGCTAACTTTTTCATAATACTGATCGTTAGCAAATGATAACCAAGCTTATAGGAGCTCGTTTCATTTTCGTAATCGAAGAACGCCTATAAATTATCGAGAATAAACGGTAAATCACAGAAGAAAGGAGAAAAACATTCTTATTTCTGTGAAATTGGATTAAATGCAATAGTACGGAAATACCTGTTTAAAATCGAAGTGTTTGAAAACGGTATTCAAAAGCGGTTCGCAGCCTTTTGAAATGTGTGCGTTTATTAATTCGATCACCTTATCGGTAACCTGATGTCTCTTCAAACACGATTCATTACATCTGACGATGAAAACCGATACGAAAATTATATGTCGACAAAGAGAATTCTAGGAACGTGTTTAAAATAATATAATACCTATGCATTTGTACGATAAGTTCGATAGCAAACATAAGAGTTTCTTTGCTTAAGCAGGAACAATAAGCTGCGAATAGTTTATCCAGAATTTTTAACGAATGACCAATTACTTTTATCTTCCTCTCATCAGCATTGTTCAAAGAACCCTATATAATATGTGATTAGTGAATATTAATTATCTAACAAGGTAACGTTAATATTTTAATATTTCATAATTTATATTTTTGTATATAATACGTAATATTTTCGTGAAAAGATATATTAGATTTTAAACTATTAATTTTAAATGTAATCAATTTCAATAATTATTAAAATAAAAATAAAATATATAAATAATTAAAATAAGAAATTACATGTGTAGCTATAATTTTCATGCAGTCAGTGGTCATTTTTCAATTACGACATACTTGGAGCAACAGAAGCATCGATGTCACTTCTTTCGTCAGTAGTTCAAGGTGTAACGTGACGGCTGTCGGTTTCGTTCGTTTTACAACGTGCTGATAGGTAATTGCAAGTTTACCAAACGTTTTGGATGTTTCAACGAACGTTTTCAGATCCAATGCATGCGAGATGCTGACCAAAAACCCAATTGTGTCAATCACTATATTGAACACGAAAAAGGGAAAGATTCTTTACACTCCATTGTTAATATTTCGTGAAATATAGATTATAATAAGTAAGGATTCCTTAACACGTTCGTCACCACAATTTTGAAATATCCTTACTGTGGATCGTGCCTTTCTTTCAATTGTTTCACGTGATGTCATTTATATAATTTTTGTACATTTAAGATATAGTAAATAAACCAAACAATATTTTGATATAGCTAAAGCGACAATAGGGTATACCATACGCCAATACTTTATCAGATATATGTGAAAAATATTTGTATTTTAATTTCATTTTAATACAGAATATAATCTATTAAACTATTTAACTGAATCTACTGTGAAATTCGGAAGGATAGGATCTTTTTAGTCTACAGAAATGGCCATGACAGTCAGAATGTTATGAGAACAAAACAGAATACCAAGACTGAAGACTTCGTTGTTTTTATAATGTCTTCATTCTGATTCTAGACGAGATAGATAAAAATGGCCTGGGTTAAAGTATCGTTAAGACGTAATGGGATCGCTCACCTTTTTCTAACAGTTCCGTTTCCGATTCCGTATCCGTGTCGAAAACGATTACACCCTCCAAAGTGGCTAGGAATAGAGTCAAGATCGTCTTCGTCTTACGAAAGAGATTTGTTAATTTTTCCGATACGCCCTCGAACAAAGTTCCGTACAATTTCGTGCTGCAACGAAAAAGATATCGATTCAATGGGTCTCGAGACAAATTAAAAATCTTTTCACGTGGTTTAGAATTCTTCGAGCAAAAATAAATGAAGAGAATACGACAAAATTTGCTTAAAAAGGGTTCTATATTAAAAGTAATGAACAGAATACTTTTACAATTTTTAAAAATTACTGATAAAAAAAATACTGCACAAATATGTGTGTTGACGTGCTAAAAGATGACATTAAAGAAAAATTGTTTATACTGTGTTTCTACTTCCAAACAAAGAATTAAGTGTTTGAGTTTTAGTGGAATACCCTGTATAGTATAAGCTACACGTGAGTCACGTGGCGGAGCAAGTGTTAATAATTTAGTTCTTGTTCTCTTAAACGATTAATAATGTATAGATCTTACCTTGCATGACAATGTTCGAAGATCGTTTTAATTGTAACACATGCGTTTTCGATTAAGAATTTTAGATTATCGACGGACATTTTGTGTAGCTTCGACACACATTCCATAGGCTTCTCCAACACAATTAACAACTCATGACAAGTGGATAATTGTTGGTTTACATTTTCCAAAGCATCTTCATCAGTGTTTACCATCTTACCAATTTGTTCTAGTGCCTTAGAGAAAAAGAAGAATCAAAAAATATAAAATACAAAAATTATTTAAAATAATTGATAAGTAGTATTAGTTATAGTAAAATAGAATCATCGTCTATTTTATTTACACTTCCTTACACATTTTTATTTCTAACGACAAACTTTATGTATTAGCAACGACAGTACCTTATAGATATTATTTTCCAAAGCAACTTCATTGGAGACTTACTTCGGATAAAAGACGTTGCGCAAGAGGAAGTACTTCTTTACAAATTTTTTCATCCAGGAAATTGTTTGGGCAAGAAGATAAGGATTCTTGCAGTGCCTGCTGCAAGAATGTCGTATCGGATACCTGGCGTAAATTTATCAGTGCATCGTAATTATCAGAATTATCATTGTTAAGAAAATAATATGAAACTGATGTTATTTCGACATAATATTGATATTTGCAAAGAATACTGTAATAACCAGTAAAAGGATATTTTTATCTTCGATGAGTAATCACCATCATCATCGACTATTTCATTGTCTGAAAACGAATCTTCCAACAAAGATGTGAATGAATTATCATTCTCCATTTCCTGTAAAAAGTAACAAGTACTAATGTAAACTATTCGCATAATAAAGAAGAATTAAATAATTTCTATTTATACCTGATACACATGGAGAACGAACATTTCAGTATTCTTAAAATAAAATAATGTCACGTTGAAGGATTACAATTTTATTATATAAAATAAGGATTCAATATCATTTTCTACTGGGATTTTCCACTTGATTAAAACATCAATTCGTCTTCATTAGAAGTTACTTTTTTCGAAGCAGTAAAAACGCTTAAGAGGAAATTTACATGCGAGCTATTTACATATTCTTATACGCGAATCGAGGAAAAGATATTATTAAATACACGTATGGATTATCTTTACTGAATGCATAAGTCACTTTAGTTTCTGCACAACAAGAATTTAAAAGATTCTGTATTAATCGAACCCGACAATTGCAAATGTACAAATTTTGTTTAGCGAGCATTCTGTGCATAGATGCTTTTCTAAGAAAAATGAAGCTTTAGCAAATTCTAATAACAAACACGTATATTAAATTTAGTAAGACCCGTTGCCCAAACATAAATGAATCCAAAGATTTTAACTCATTCTTTGAAACAACGAAACTAAAGATTTTCTCATTGAACAAATTGAATTCATTGTAAATAACTGTATTCATCGAGAAATGATTGTGATCAAGAATTTTAATAATCATTAAAAATATAAATTTTGGTTGACGTTACCAAATTATTTAAAAATCATTGATATAAATCGAATGCTATGAGACAAAACGTAAAATATATGTAAAATAAATACATAAAATAAAAATAATAATTTAAATGACTACACATTAACATAAAATAAAAGCGTGAATAATTAATCATTAGACTGCAGATTTTTATGCATTTGTGAAAAATTTGAAACTGCAAAATTGCACGTTTATGCACAAGATACGAAAAAATATATAAAATATCTAAGATTTACTATTTTTTATATTTATCGAGGAAAACTATTTTCTATCGTACTATTTTTCTAATCATATTCTACAAATTCCGGTTTGCATAAATATCTACAGTCTATTAGTAATCGTTGTTAATAGTATTTATTGTTTCTGAGCATATGAAATTCGCGTTGCGGTTGATTGGTTAAACGTATGGTGGAATAGAGAATTCCAGGATTGTATATGCAGCGAAGTAATTTCTAATCCCGTTTCTCGTGTCACAAACAAATCGACCGTTCCAGCAATCGGCCCGATCGCGGAACGAGGCCTCGAAAATTTCTTGGCAACCCGCAGAGCTCGAACTTTCTTGTCCCGATCGAGCACGATAGACAACCGTTTCTCCAGAAACCGGGGCAGGGATGGGCAAACTCTTCCATCAAATCATAAAACTGCAATGGCGAGCCTCCTAACACACAAAATTATGCTGTCTAATCGTGAAAGCTAATTTTACCAACCGTGGAAAATACACCTACTATAGTTAGCGATTCACGTCAATCGTCTCAATCTTTACTTTTCACGGGCGAATGCTGAAGAAACGCAAACAACAATGTTTTACGTAATTGAAATTGTCTTTCGAAAATGTATTGCGAACTGGTTACATTGAAATGTTTATGATAGAAGGGAAATAATCCGATTCTTTTACATTTGTTAGATTTTAATTCGTCAGTGGACTATAAATTATATATTAAATAAATATTAATACTTCTTCTTAATTTTATTTAAATAAAAATGTAATTATTAAGCGATAATACGTATGAGCAACGCATTTTTCGTCCAAATTTCAAGTGAATCGAATTTGGTTATAAATCTAGATTTTTTAGTATATATTTCATTCAATTAATTGCTTCGATTTCATTGCATTCCTATGCTTGCAATTATAAAAAAAACTGAAACATTTCGGTTTGCACTAAATTTATTTACGAAATCTTTTTTTAAGAACTTGCGGGAACTTTTTTTTCTAAATTACTTTTATACCTATTAACTCAATAATTGATTATCAATGATAAAAATCACGTTATACCGAGTCATGGAATATTTAGAACTTTCTTAGGATATCGAAAAAATCTACTTCAACACTGAAACTATCGAGCAATTTAACTGATTAGTTCCTATTTTTTTTAATAGAAATTTTTATAGGTATTTTAGTTTACGAGTTGGAGTCTGAGAAAAGCAGTTGTACCCTCTTAATAATTGTAAAATAAAAAATCAAGGCTAAATGATTTTGATCCATCTGTTAGTTCTAGTGTTAATTGGTGTGCTGAGGATCAATAGTTGACTTCGTCGACTACTGACGAATAGTTCTAGTCAAAACTAGTATTGAATAAGCCGAATATTATCAAAATCAAATGATTCTTTTTTTCCTACATCTAATGATTGTTTATAAAAATCTAATAATTTTAATGAGTAAGGTAAAATTAAATTTGCCACTTCAATTAGGATAGTGTTAACACATAATATTGTTAAAAAAAAATGAAACAATTTTCTTTTAAAAAATGTTGCCAAGTCAATTTAGGAGATAAAGCAAAGAAGATACACGAGACCAAATGATATAACAATTGAAATATCTAAACAATTTTATTTCTATACGAAAAGTGATTTCAAAATGTCTCCGTCGTCATATACTACTGTGTAACAATCTAGAGTTAGAGTTAAACAAAGTTTTATAATAAATGATCATCATTAGATAAGTTAGAATAAGGTAGATAGATATTAATACTAGATTTACGGCCATTTACTGTATAGTTTGTTTTATTGTCTTAGAAAAATTGATGTTCGTTTATTTAGACCTTGTAAATTGGAGGTGTAAAAGTAAACAATTAGGCTACATATTTACATAACTGCATCACTCAAAATCGACCGAAACATTTACCAAATAATGTTTATAAAATGCAATTCAAAATTGACTCGTTCCATAAATCTAGTATTACTGTTACAAGTGTGAATGCAGGAAAATAAGTATGAACGTGTAAGAATTGTAGGCCAAAGTCCATTTCTAGACAGACGAGGTCGGAATAAAGATAATTAGTGTTCATCGTTACGACTGGTAGTGCCGAGCAGTGACACGTCGATGAATTCAATGGACAAGCGGATCCACCGGTTTCTTCGAGCCGGCACGTCGAAGTCGCCGATAAGAGGGGCAATTAGGACTGGAAGCGCTAATGGGCGGACTCTCTTAATTTTCGGGGGGTTCGACGTGGCCGAGTTCCCGGGACGAAAGTTTCCTCGTTTAAATACTCGCCGGTTCGCCGGAGAGTGACTCCGCGCGGACGAAGGAACGAGCAAGAAAGAGAGGAACGAGAGAAGCGAATTCGAATAATCGGCGATGCCATGGTAACACCGGACAACAACCTGTCAGATGATAGGTAAAGTTTTGATCAATAATACCGGGTGACTGCCAGGCGAATTCGAATTTGACCCCCGAATGACACGTTTTTGCGAAAAGCGAACACCTTCTCGGTGAACTTGGGCACACACGTCATGTCTTTGAGCGGTATCGAGCGTGTTTCTTTTCGCGCCCATAAATCTAGGTACGGCCAACGAGAAGCTGACGATCAGAGGAAACCAAGGGGAGGATGGAAATCTGATTCGACAATGAGAAATTTGAACCACGGAACTAGAGTAATTGAAATAAATTAACGATGGAACTTGTTCCTTTATTATTATTACAGAGGTGTAGATAATATTTTGAAGATTGTTAAATAAAATGATTTAATAAAATTTCAAGAAATTTCAATAATTAGAAACAGTTCGTTTGACTGTGGTAGTTCTAGTATTAACATTAATTACAGAACAATTGGTGAGGTTTATTTATAAGTCCTTATGAAAACTAGAAAAGTATATTGTGAGTACGAAATATACAAATTTGTTTACAATTTTTCTCGTCTCAAACCTTTTTACACTTTTAAAAATTTTTTCGAAATTTAGAAATTCTGAAAATCATTCTGATTTGTTTGGTAGTTTTAGCATTAAGAATAACAAGAACGTTTAATTTACTATAGGACAAAGTTAATAAAATGTGGAAAAAGAACATTGAACATTGGTAATTGTGAGCTAAGAAATTGATCTCTTTTTATCTTCGCTCGCATTCTTTTTCATTTATTTATAAATATTGAAATGTATCAATAGTTAAAATTACTAGGGACGATAACTAGTTCTGTTTTGATTAAGAATTAAACCTTTTTAATTTAGACATTGAAAACTGGAAATGTTCAGAAGCACTATTTTATCACTAACAGAAATAAATTTTTGTGCATTTCTAGTTTTCGTAAAGTACATTACAAAAATGTAAATTAATGTATATTTATAAGTCATATTTACAATTGAAACTTAACTTAATTCTTTCTTCGAAAATTATTATAAATTTATAGTTTTTAGAGTATTATACATCTCTTATGAGTTTAATTGTAAAGGTAGTTCTTGGGGAAGTAGTTAAGGAGATATGTAACCTTGAATACCTAAAGAAAATGTGTAACTTAACATATCTTTTCATCTATGTGATATTGATAAATAACCACTATTTTTATAAGGAATATTAAGCGATATCTTAGCTGACTATTCACATTTTCTTATTGACTAAAATTATAAAATGGTACAATCTTTCTAACTTCATATTCGGTGATATCGTATCAAATTGTATTCAGTATATTGAAGTGACTAGAACTTAGAAACTAAAAAAGTTGTGCGAACATAAACCAAACTAGATTATTCTCAACGTAGTATACGATTTTTCGTATTTTGTTTATCCTTAACTTCTTGCCCAATGATTTCTTTCACAAGTGTGTTCGATTGAACTACTTTGTCGTCAGTAATTCACGAGAAAAAGAAAAGGATTACTTACGTTATATCTGTGTCTACTCTAAAATACAACAATTTATAATAAAACACTAATATTTATATTCTCTCAAAGAAATTGAACGACATATATACTTATTAAATTGAAATCTTCATCATGAATCTGACACATATACTAAGCCACAGGGTTTATGTTACTTCTTCGATCCAAGGGGAACCAAAGCAGTTCTTCTTCTTTACCAGCAGTCATAGCTACCACCCAAGCTGCCCAAAGTTTAACGGTCAGAGTTGTGCCACTGACCAAGGAGTAAGTAACATTTATCGAGTCAGGGTAGGATAAATCAAAGAGAGATGGCCCACTTTTTTAAATATAACAATTACATCATGAATATAATTAATACCCAACAAAAAGAGAATAAATTTATGAAAAATAGTTAACCCTTTGCACTCACATGCCATGTTGGAGATGACAATACGAATTTCTTATACTTTATTTGTGGTACTTATAATAATAATAAATAAAATAAATATAAAACATTGAATTCTACCGCGGTAAATTACTTCAATTCATTTCCCTAAAAATAAATACAAGTTTACACCCTACAATATTAAAAGTAAATCGTGGAAAGGGTTAAATAAACTTCTGTGCAAGATTCAATATATCGGCAGAAAAAATCGAAAATATGGATATTTGACAATGTAAACGAGATCGAGCCATCTGATCCGCAAGGCCATCTCATCCGGAATTATCCTATAGCGGGTTCAACTACCCTATCAGCGACCGGAGAATGTGCCCCAATGGAAATAACAGTATAGTTCGTAGAATTGTAGTGGTATCGGACGTCGTTCAAATTAAAGGGAGCAATACATCGTTCAACTACCCCACTCGGCCGGGTGAGGGTGGAGGTAACGGCGTGTTGGTGGCTGACAGTACGCACGAGCACCGATTCCTAGTAGTAGGGACGTAACACGATGGTGGATCGGTGAAATGGCAGTGGTGGTGAACGATCGTGTCAGAGGGCAATGGATGAAGTTAGTCAGTCGGCGTTCGCTCGCGCCGCCACCCACGATGGAGGTTCATCCGTCGTGCCTTTGTTCCGGGGGTCCTCTCCGCTAATCGCGAACCAGTCGAGTAAGTGTCAGCGCCCGATTCAAATAACAAGCGTATTTCAGCCCCGACTGATCTTTTCAAGTGAACGGACCCAATTAATGTCCTAAACGCTGCAATTTATACGGTTTACCACGTTGTTTTACTTTCTTCCGCTTTAGGAATGCTACGTAGAGTCAAACACAAGAAGAACAGGGTGCCCTATGGATTTGTCAATTTGCATTTAATGTATAATGCAAATGAAATTTGTCATGTATACATTGCTTTACGGTATTTTTGTTCTTTTGGTCTAATCGGTTACACTATAATATTGGAGTATATAATATAAATTTATCTGGATAAATGTAAATATTCGAGAATGTTAGTAATTGATGAACATTTGATGAGAATTGATGGAAAAGTTAGAGCAATCTTCGCGACTACTGTGTTTCCTGAATTTTAATTTTTTGAATTTGTTTTGAATGTGAAAGTATGAGGGCAGACTGAAAAGTTGGCCTCCAGTTCAATAAAAAGTGAACGAAAAATAAATGTTTATGACACAATAACAAGATGATAGACCTTTATTCTATATTCTTAGAAGGTATACGACTATTTTCAAGATAATTACCGCCGTCTTCAATACTTTTTTCAACCCTGTACTAGCTTTTGAAATTTCGTTTTCACAAGATAAAAGTCTTGTTCTTGAAACTTGAAAACCATTTCTTCACTGCAAATATCACCTTTATCAAACATTCTTTTAATTTTGAAAACAATTAAAGATCACTAATACGAATATAAATTTCAATTAGAGCAACATTTTCCACGATTAAGGATCCAATAATAACTATTTAGACTGAGTTTCCAAATATGTTTGTATTTCTGCATACACAGATTGAAATTTTTTAAATAATTATATGTTTAATACTAAAGGTACCGGCACATTGTATACATCTATTTGTAAAATAACGAGCCAAATAACTGATTACAAAATAACTTTTCTTAATAAAAATGGAAATAAAGGGAAAAACATAAATCGAAAGACTGATTAATCGGGCAATATAGGAATTGATATAAAGTTAAATAGACGAAATAAAATGCAAAATTTTAAATCAAATTTTGAAACCGGCCATTTAACCAGTCGCAGTAAATTTAGTATTAAGGATAAATATAATAAGCTATCATTGACTAACGAGAATCGACTGTATCCAGATCTATCCATTATAAATAAAAATATTACAACCGGGGCAAAACATTTCAGACCATTTTTATATTTACGAAAGGGTATAAAATTGTTTTAACTACTTCCATTAAAATCGTAGTCACTTTTTAGAATCAAGATTATTACAGAATGTAGCTTTCGTGGGTCTATTCGAGAATCGGAATGTCAGGATCCGGTAAGTCGGCGAGACCGATCAGGCAATTGTCTCTGCAACCACCTGCACCTCGTCGACAACAGATCAGGCGGCAACGATCCGCCGAGGATGACAAATCGCTGCAGATCTGTGCGAGTCCTCTTGCACATGGGAAACACGGTACCGGTAAACTTGGTTTCGAGAAACCCAAGGTACGATGAGATAATAGTATTAATATAATAGTGTTAGACTTAATCAGTTAACTGGGTTCGACGGGTATACATATCATCTTAAAATAAAAATGATACTAATTCTTTCAACGATAAATTATTTATTTTTTCCGATAAACATGTAATTTTTCTTCGTTTTGCTTTAGCTTTCCATTAGAGTATATTATAGCTGCATTTGATCTACGTTAGATTAGTATATATTTCATTATCTGATTTGATTGCAAGCATTACCAGAGATTTTTTTAATTAAATTCCACAGTTAACAGGTTAATATTATACACAATATTAAATAGTATTAAAAACAGTATTAAAAGATTACAATATCTGAATTAATAATTGTTTTTAATTGTATTCTTTTGTTTAAAACAATTTTATTGTTATGGTACAGTCCAGAATGACTTAAGAAGTTATGTTACAATAGAACATTGTTTCCAAATGTGTTTTATATCCACCAAGTACTAATGAACATATTGCAATGATCAAATCTATTCGACTTGTCTTGATAATTATACTAGAGTATATATATATTCTAATTTTAGAACCATAAATTTTAATTCCATTAATTATTCTATTGCTTGCAACGATGGTATTGATTCGTTGTTCTTCAGTTTAATTTGGTTTAGTTATGAAATATTGAAAATTTCTACGTTAAAGGAAGAAGAAGGAAATAAGTACACTTTATTTACAGTCAGTTTTAAAACACAGGAAAGTTAGATAATATCAAGAAAAATTCTTTGAACTATACATTATCGTATAGTATATACTTTGAATACCTAATTAATTAAAAAATTAAACTAATTCCGAAACCGATGACGTTTTCGAGGTGAAATTTAAAAATTAAATTCGTTAAAAAAAATGATATAAAATCATACATAGACGGTCAAAAGTTTGTTTAAATATATAAAATAAAATTTTAAAAAATATGTATGTTTATATTTAACCAATACGCATATGTCCATGTTCTTTTATCGTACACAGAAATTCTCCAATAAAAGTTATTTACAAAAAATGGAAGTTTTCCCTTTAACCGATGTATTGGTCCCAAACTTTCGACCGACAGTGTATTTCCAAAACTTTATCTGGACAACAGCTAATACCTGATTTTCCGATATTTTCTATTCATCCCTTAAATTCTTTATGCTACGAATAATAAAACTTCGATCGCCCAATCGTTACAAGTTTCGATGAAATTTTATCTGACTCATGGATACGCTTCAGGTGCGCGTCGCATGGAGCGAAAATCGCCGGAAGAATGAGAAGGAATTTGAGCAAGTGGAAGTGGTAGCTCGTCAAATCCCTGGACGCTCCAGGCCAGCAACCGGGAAGTCCAGGGGTTACGTTGGCATCGAGAAACCACCTATCCTATGTTCCAGACAGGAGCTCGCAGAAAGATTAAGACAAGCTTGGAAGCATCGCGAGGAAAACAAAACCAATATTAACATATTCTTAGCTCACGGTACCGTGGAAAAGAGATGCGACTCGGCGATGTCCAGCCACGCGTCCACCGCCATTCCATCGCCACTATTGATGAAAAACAATGGGAACGAAGCACAGATTCCTGATGATTGTACAACGATGCGGAGAAAGCAAGCAGGGGAATCAAAAACTCGGACAAACTTCGATGGAGATTACGTGAAAAGAGAAGACGATACTGTTAAGGCGAACGTAGTTCCAATAAATAATGAGTCATCGGTGAAAAAATGTGGAGACGAATTGTCTGATTTCACGGAGTCGAGCGACAAGACTCGAAAGATTACGGAGCTAAGGGAAAATGAAGATTACGAGGCTGCGAAGCTTGAGGGACCAAGGGAGAGTGATTTGAGAGAAATAGAGGAAGATGTAAGTAAATAAGTATATAACGCAAATATGGAAAATATTAAAAGAAAATATAGAATTAAGTAAAACTTTGATGAGAATGTTGCAATGGTAAAATTGTTAGACACCGTGGTTATAACAGTATCGTTATTTTTCTTTTAACATAAGAAAACTGCAGTCAGCTATGAAACAAATATATATGGGGTAAATTATAAATATATGGGGTAAGTTCACGTTAGTTCGATCACATTTTTATCAAGTTTTAGCCCTATTAAAATCCTTGACTTATTATCATAAAATCAAATTGACTTAACTAAGTTTGATATTTTATGCAGATCGAGTTTTGCAATATACAGAGTGTTTTGCAATCGATAGCGCAATAAGAGAGACATTAATTCTACGTGAAAAAATGAGTCGAATATAAATTTTTGTATTTGTGACCCCTTTTTTTAGAAAGTCAAGAATATTTTTCAGCTTTAAGTACAGATTTAAAAAATAAATTACAAACAAATAAATAAAATAACAAACATATTTTATTCCATATTTCTAAAGTATTTTTTTATATAGAATCTTATCGCTTCTGATCGAACTGCTAGTCACAGAACGCCCTGTGTATTTGATCTAAATATTTAACATGCATAATGCATCAAATATTTTATTCATTCGCCTTTTTATTCGCTCAGTTTACTCACGCAAATCTCGATATTTTATCATGTTCGGCATGCTTGCGAATGAATCCATAATTTATTGACACTCTGTCGACAAATAACCAATACTTTCGACGTTCTTTCTTTATTCAAGCTAATATCGGGAGGCTTAAATATCGATAACTGTCCCAATTCCTCCAAGACCAAAAAGGAGACATCAATGACCGTCAACTGTTTCTCGACATTACCATCGATCAAAATCGAGAATTCACCATCATTGATTGTGAAAATGAAGGATGATTTCTCATCTGCGAAGCATAAACGCGCGAGTTTCCACAGGGGCGCAAACAGGGCGTTCCTCGACCCGATGCGATCGTCGATCGAGTACAAATGGAATTCAATAGCAGAAAAAGTTGTGTCTTCCAAGATTATCGTAGACGTTAAAACCGAGAAAGAAGCACAAATCATGGAAACAACAGAAGTTATTTCGAACGATAAGATAGTGATCTTGGACGGTCAGTCGGAGTTCAAGTGCGCGGAAATTGTCCAGAAAATCGCAACAGAAACGAGTTCAACAACTGCGAAAAATATGAGTACTAAACCTACAATTGAAAACAAGGATCTACCGACAGACAACGAAACGATACAGAAAACAAATGACGGCAATAAAGTGGCTTTTTCAACAATTAAAAGAGCTACCACAGCTGGCGCAGAAAATAAAGACGACTCCGTGATCGAGAAAGGTACGTTAACGAGGCAAACATCGGAAGTCAGGTGTGGCTTGGTGAACGAGAGGCATCCGCTATCAAAGACGAAAGAGGGTCAGAGGATTGAACAAAAGTCGAGGAGAACCAATTCGGCTCCGCCGCAAAGGCAACTGGGAAACATTCCGAATAGTCGAGTGCAGGTGAACATCGTGATCGACACGCCGAGTTCGATAAGCTCCGCTAAGAATAGCAACAAAGAAAAGTCAAGCATAGATAATAAAGATAGCACATCTGAAGGAACAGACGCGACTCCAACGAAGGTATATCTGTTGCTTTGAAAAGTTTATGTATAAGAGAATTTACAAAATTGAATTGTGGATTTTTACGCGTTTATAGGAATTTTGGAAATGAAAAACGGTACGAAATGCACGCATTACGAAAAAGTATATGAAATATCTAAAGTGTAGTGTTTTTTAATCATTCTATTTTTCTAATTATATTTTTACATATTTGAGTTTATAGAAAGATCAGTAATTTGATAACCATCATTGTCGATCCATTGCTAACAAATAGAAAGAAAACTTCTTGTTTACTCTTATGTGAATCATTTTTAATTTCTTTTATTTTATATCAAATATTTTTGATTTTTTTGAAGTATTCTTTCTTGGTGATGTTTCACAGTGTTACAATGCGTATTTTTATTTGCCTCAGTATTTTAAAAATACATAGATAAACTTTACTTCAATAGTGCATACGTTTCACTATCTAGATGTAAAATTATACAGAGTGTCTTATTTAATGTAAGTAAATGTCGAAGTTATTTCCGGTGTTATTGAAAATAAGTTGATTTTAGCTGAAAATTCTCGAAAATACGAAACGCAATACAGGATTCTGTAATATAATTTCTGATAGTATAATTTTATTATGATATGTTAGAATTAAAGTTAAAGAAAAATTCACTATCTCTACTGACCCGTGACCGGTGACGTTAATAAGAATTCTTTATAATGTTCGTAGAAATACTTATGGTCGATTAATAAGTATCTAAGCTTAATTAATCTCAAGTGTTTAAAAATGAGATTCTAAACAAGATACAACTTGAATATACTTTATTCAACAGTTTATCATATTTAATTTCAGATGTGCTACTAGAATGAAATATTGAACACGTATATTATTTACGCTCTTCTTCAAATATAATGTTCCTTTTCTATACTCTTATCTTTCAAAACTGACAACATAACTGTAGATAATAATAGTATTAAATACAGTACTGATAATACATATTCCTAAAAAATCGTACGTGAGGTAACGTGAACATTCCATTCTACTATTAAAAGTTAAAAAACAAAATAAAATCGATATAGTGAACTCATAAAGAGGAAACAGCTTGTGATACACTATCAGACCGCGAATGTTACGCATTTATGACAAATATGAGTACATAGGATATAAAACAGCGAAATGTTCATAAGAATCTGGAAATACCATTACTTTATTTTCCACTCATTAGAATTTAAAAAAAAATCAATCCCCGGCTAATCCTTCTTTCTTTCAATTATTTCGAGAAAATTTGATATTGCATAAAGATCCACTGCCTACTTATTATTTGAACACCACGCTCATCGAAAAAACGAGTAAACAAGAGATATGATAAGTTAGAAACAGATAAACAAATGAAAAATGTAATTAGGTATCGTCGCAACGGGCGGTGAGATCAGCACCCTCGAAGAGACGCTCCAGGAGCGTAAAAAAACGTTTTTGCGGTACTGGATCTTACAAAAATGAGGAAGAGGGGAAATCCCGAAATCGATCGACCGGCCGGGGGAAGAACTCGATCGATTCCAGGACTATTGATATCGTTACAATGGTGTCTCTTGTCAGCTCCGCAGACAGCGATAGCGATACCGAGAATTCGCTCAGGGATGATAAATTAATCGACGAGTTACGTAGCAAACTACCCACCACATCGATCATCAAAACGTCGATGAATACTGCCTCGAGTATCGCTAGGAAGCCCATTAAGTCAGGTACAATGCGAACGATACGCTTCCACTAGCACCTAGATGGAAATTCCCTTTTTGTCACTTGAACACATTGACTGCCGAATCAGCACTCATCAATATCCCACATAGCCAAAACAATTTTCTTGACCAAACAGAAACTGAAAAGTCAAGATTTTTCATGATCATTGGCCTCTTAACCCTTTCCGGACGAGTATTTTTTAAACTTTCAGAAACTGTTCCTATAAAAGACTGAAAGTGCATCAAAGTCTTAAATATTAGAAAAGAAGAAAATAACATATCAATCTCTCGTTATTTGAATAAGGAAATGATTTATTTGCAGCTTTCAATTTCAGACATGAAACCTCGAAGTTACCATCACGACGGTATTCGACTGCAAAGGGTTAATCTTCTTGCATCTCGTAGATCCCAACAAATTTTTTATTATCATAAAAATCAATTTTAATGTCCATCTAAAGGATTATGCCACTCGAATTCAGATGACGTGGTAGTCAAAGTGTTAATACTCGTGCACCGTTTGAATCATTTTTACCCAAGTACGAAGCATTGTTTTATTCCATGAGCACATTGCCCTACTACATGACACTTTCACAGCGTAATTAATTTTACTTGCATCCGCAGTGCTAGTAAAAGTAAGAGCATTTTGCATGCAACGTTCTTTTTTCATTTTTCGAGTTGAAGTAAAAAATCTAAAAAACGTGTGTTAATTAATTTTTGGATCATATGTTAGGTTTGTGAAATCCAGACTAAAATACAATATACTTCAACTTCCGTATGATAACTGTCCTGATCATACAATTAATAAATAATATATCAATCAACATCGAAATCATTAAAAAAATATTAAAAACGCTAATTTTCGATAATGATAAATAAAATATAAAATAAATATAACAAATATTATAAATGGAGTGTAGTAAGTAAAATATAATAATACGTCGTGTGTACAAGTAAAAAATTCAAACATGTTAAATTTGGATTGTCTAAATATTTTTATTTTAAAGATTATACTAGTTCAAACAGTTTTTGAAATCGTGCAGTTAACACTGTATCTAACGCTTATGATCAGCGCAGGCAGACACTCCCAAATGATCGACATAGTTTCCCTTTATAGTTTCTACTTGTAAAGCTCTATAACTGTAAAATCAAAGTATGAGGAAATCTCATTAAATTATTCTGATTTCTTTTGCTTTAAAACAGCGTAATTTTAATAGGTTGTCAGCTGTTAAGTATTCGAAATCTAAAAACCAATTAATAAGCTTGCTGTAGATAAAGCATTAAATTTGCGCAATCAAATAAAGAAAAAACCATATTGATAAGAAGGTGTTGGCTGAATGTATTAAGGAGCACTGTGGCTGACGACAATGTTAATGTGTAGTCACGAACATCGTGCAGGAATTTAATAATACGCACACGCGTGCAGAAACGGCCGGGAAATGATAATTGAACGAGTTAATTAGGAGCGACGCGAGACACGCGAGCTGTGCATACCACGAATAATTTCGAAATATCGTTGTCTTTTCGCGTCGTCCTCGAGGTGCGAGAAAAAGTTCCGTAGAAGAGGACGACATGCACTTCATGTTCAGTACGAAGCTTTCAACACGAGCTTTTACACAATCCTGTTCAATGTGAAAGCGAACCACTCGAAGAATGCTCGTACTTTGATGAAACTACAAAGTCACCCTTATTTTCCAATAAAAAGTTCACAGTACTAAGAAATTATTTGTTTAACACTAAATCTACGGACATTTATTGTACAGTTTATTCTACTGTTCCTAGAAAGGTTGATGTTCGTTCGTTTCGATCTAGGAAATTAGATGTTTAAAAATGTATTATTAGAAAACATATTCACATAATTGAATCAATCAAAATTGACCGAAATATTTAGCAAATAATGTTTATAAAATTCAGTATGAGTTAAATTGCCTCATCTCGTAAATCTAGTGTAAACTTCATTCATCACACTTTTGAACATTAGACACTTTCACGATAACATACTTTATGACTTTATCCTAACTCGTTCGCAACCAGCGTTTGTTTCAATAGAAATCTTCATAATAACAATATTTCATTAAAAGAAACCTATCGTTTTTATAAAATGAAAATAAAATCCAAGAAAAAAATCTTGTTAAATTCGCATAGGGTACACTATGAATTACGATTTTAGATAAAAACACACGTGAAAGTAATTTAATTTCTCTTATGCAAGACACAAAATGTTGAGCGTTACAAATATATGACGCTGGTCACGAAGATGTTAATATTCGATATTATAAACAAATTAAAAAAAGATTTTTATAGATTAAACTTTGATTTTATATTTTCGTAGTATGAATGACAACTTCATCGCTATGCCATACAATTATTATTTAATTTGCGGGGAAATTCTGTCACAATGGTAAATTACTTAAATTATACTTTGTCTAGAAAATAATTAACATACATAGTATTATAATAATAATGATACTGATATGGTAGATTTTTTATTTTCTTTTTCGTTATTTACAATATTTTCATTGCAAATTTTTAATTAACTTCTTTATAACGGTTCATATAATCTTTTTATTATAGGTCCTATAAATAATTACGTTAACTTTGTTTCAATCGAATTCCTGGAAAACCTATCACTTTCAAGGTTCACATTTTGCCCTAGATAAATCGCTCCTATTAGCATTCAAACCATTTTACCTCCCTTATTTATATCTCACACCTCAGGAAATACTTCTCTCGAGAAATGCTAAGTATGACTAGAATCTGGAAATTCCTGATTGTATCTCTCACATCCGGGCTATACTTCATTGAACACCCCAGTTTCTTCCTCCACATATACAGGGTGAATCAGTAATTATTGGCTTGAAATTATTTCTGACAAAATCAAAATAAAAGTAAAACTGTTTGAAAAGTAATACCTAAAATTAATAACACATTGAAATAACAATAAAATGACTTAAATTCTGTGTTTTTATCCTTACACAGTGGTATTCTTCAAGATCAAATGAATAATCTACACTTATAATCAAGTTCAAAAGACAACTGCATTAATAGGCTTCAATTGAAATCGGTCACTCGTATATAAGATTGATACGTATCAACAAGTTGAAAATCAACATTTTGAACACGTACGTGGAAAAATAAAAATGCAAATCATGATTTGAGAATTCAAATACGTTCGCTAAGTACTTTAAAGATTTACCTTAAAAAACTTCAATGTAGACGTTATTAATTCATCTTATGGAACATTAACAAGATGGAAAGTCAAAAGTAAAATGATCAACTTAAGAAAAGTATGAAAGTAAACGTTATAAATCCCTTACTAATAGTATTTGTATTGTTTAAAATTTATTTGAATAACTCTAGTTAGCAGTTAGTGGCCCACCCTGTATAGTATTGCTAATTAAAGAGAAGTTCTATCGTGCAACGACATGAAACTGGTAAAGACAATAGGATCGAACACGTTAAATCGACCAAACTTCTTCTCTCTTTGTATTACGCCACTGACCCTGAAGCAAAATATTTCATTGAAACTCGCGGCGCGTAATAGGCTCCTAATAATTGTGCTTCGACCGGCGGTAGTTATTGACATAATCAAAGTGGTATGATTCAACAACGAAAGTCCAGAAATCAAATATTGGAAAATTACACATTCTGTGAGAGCATTCTTCACTGTTTCATAGAAATAATTGTTCGATATCATAAATTTAATCCTTTTGATGCTGACTGAAAGAATTTTACCTAAAATTGGTAACAGTAGTTACCAATAAAAAGACTTGTTGTTTGATCGTTAGTTTTATGTGAAGTACATAGTATGAAACATAAATAGAGTATTTTCAATTATTGGTAACAAAATTATTAATACCATAACATTAAATTAAGGCCCTTCGTACGCGAATCGTCGAGTCGCGTGAGAGACGCGTCAGCGTAGCGTAAGAAAAGACCTTCACTGTGTTTTGTTTACGGAATTAACCATCTATGGACCGAATTTTTGTTCATGATTATAACAAAATCTATGCAATACAAAATTAATAAATAGTCACATATGAATACAAATTGACAATGTATTCAACACTTTCAATAATTTTATCAAACGAATATATTTTGTAACTTTCAAGTTATAATGACGTTAAACTTTCACTCCTGAGTATATGAAAGTTTAAGTTAACTGATTACTTAATTTTATTCACCACTTTGAGTGCAGAATGAAATAAATCAACAAGATACCAATATACTGATATGTGACTTCAAAGTTACATGAGCCCACAGAAGGTTAAATTAATATTAACAGAAGTCTGAAAAAACAATACCCACAAAACTTATTATTACAAGAATAAAAATAGAAGCAGCCGTTTATAGAAATAGCAACTTAACGTCATCCAATGAACAACAAAATATTCTGTCAAATTGCATAGATCTTTTAGGATTAAATAAAAAAAATTATTCATCAATCACTACGGAATTTAATAGAAAGTGAAATCTATAAACAATTTTCTCAATTCGTGGAATATGTCATATGGGATTTCTCAAGAGAAATTCAACTACTTATAAAGTTTTATGAATTTATTTTGAATTAAAGTTCTCTCGCAACGCGGAAGTTATCGATGTTCGGGACTAAAAGGATTGAACAATCCTTTAAAATACGTTCTTTCAAGTAGTACTGAAAGAAAGGAGGTATTAAATAATTTTGTTATTAAATATGAATTTCGCAGTTCTTACTGCACAATTAAAAAATTCTTCTATGAACTCCATCACTTTAAGTAAAATTTTGTTTATTTTAAAAAATGAAAATAATAATTTTTTAAAAATTAAAGCTTAAAGTTCCTCTCAAAATGGCATTATTTATAAAATAATCTAATACATTTATCATAAATTTAAAATTCATTATGATTACGAAGAAACGATATTTTAAATTTAATACGAACAGCCAAACATTTGGATACGAGTAAAA